AAACCCCACGAGGTTTGACAAGCGACGCTGCTCCTTGTCACGTACATATTCGAAACCACGACAGTAGACTCAATGACAGATCTTATGATATAGTGCGTTAGTGCTAACCGTTCGGCCATTCTACCCCTCAGACTTCAATATAAACTCACGACTTATATATGTAACGCGCAACGTGCCATCGTGTTTACGAATATTTTGCTAGTTAATTCTCTGATTATTTATAACTTGATGATAAATCTGTTATTTTTTAGAGTTAGTAATATCTACCAAAATTAATATTAGCATGCGAGTCTCAACTTCGATTATTTTTTTGCTACACAATTTGGGACCACCGTAACATGCCCTACCGTAAATAAAACTCAACCAAATTAATAACAAAATTCATTTACCGGGAAGTTATCAATACTGTCTACGGCAAAGTCATCACCAGGCTCATCTAAAATAATTGGCCTTGTTTTACCATTTGATCCAAACAGCTGAACATAAATATAAGCATTCGAAGAAGCATCTGGATGGCTACCAGTTCGTGTTGTCACGTTGTATTGTTTTTTACTACCTTAAAGATACATTATGGAAGATAAGATAACGAGCTGGCAATTCTCGCTATAATAGTTAAACACTAGATAATGTAAAGGGCAATTTGCTGAAAATTTCAGTCAAATTGCTCCACTCTGAACCGAGAATTAAGCGACTGAATTTTCGGACTAGCCTCGATCATCATTACTAAAGTGGGTACGATAAAAAACATAGTCTCGATTATCCATTATATATGAATGAAAAGTTGAGCAGGCTACCGATGCCATCGAGAGTTGATTATGGTCTGGATAAGTTAATTAATGTCTAATTAATAGTTTATATAACATTTACGGCCTAAAGAAAGACTTGCAACAGGCAGATTTAGCTCTTGCATAATGTATGTTTAACAAATAATTATAATCCAAGGGCTAAACGTCAAGGACTACCAGTCCAGAAACCAACATTCCTCGATTCACCGGCAACAACAAAAAATAGAAAAAACTATGTTCGGGGATTGCCAATGACATTTTTGACAGATTCTGCGTTCAAGACTGCCAGATAAATGGGTTCAAAGTTACCTTGATTCAACCTCCAAGTGCACAACAAGATGTAACCAAAATTACCACGAAAGAGGATTTTGATACACTTTTCCCGTTGAATAAATAATAAAAAAAATAAACAGGATACCAGTCGAAAGTACGACACGGCATCGCCGGATTACACCGAATTCTCGGATGGCAACTGCAACACGGGCCCACAATGGATGGAAGGGTTCCACTGACTAGGCGCCATTACTGCTACTAGCAGATGTAGCCATCGGTCCGATCATGGTCACATCGCTTTTCGCGCAATTGACATTTTTTTTGGGGGGGGGGCTGATGTCGCGGACCCTGGGGTCTGGGCCCCACCATTCCACGTTGTTAATCCGGCCCTGGATTGCCGAAAGGATATACGGGAAATAAAATGGAGTAGGGTTTAGCGTTCTACGTTTTTGCACTAATCTGGTTAATAAAGATGAGGTCCTGGCAAAATGTCCCCTGTAAAACGTTAATCCCCATTTTATTTCATTTCCAAACCTTAATAATGGGAAAAAAGGAACATAGTAAATAATGGGGAAATAAACCTACCATCGTCGACATCAACGTATGTGAATAAACCAGCATCTGGTATATTGACGTAATCTAGCTGTAGTTTAAAATTATAAAAATAACAAGTTTTTCTGTCTTCATGAAAGGCAAAGGCCGCACAGCATAACTTTACATCCATACATTCCATGGCACATAGTAACTTATTATCAGTGACCATCTTACTATTGGCGACATCATAAAATATGTCAACATTTAATAGTCTGTATTTTGTAAAACATAAAATACATTGAAACATATAAAACACTAAATACAGACTTGTGAACATGGTAGGTTTTAACTTGGCAAACATATTCAACTAACACTTTTAATGGATTAACAATCAACTGCACCAATTAATGGTCAGTGATCAACTAGCGCTGTTAATGGATTAACAGTCAAACATACATAACGTCAAACTGCACGCAGCGATCCTTCTGCGTCATACTTCGAGATTATCAGGCGGAGCTAGCTGTAGACAGGCAGCCTAAGTTTGGGATGACATAACGTCTGCCATTGGAGTAATGTGCAGGTAAAAGAAACCTCACTGTTGAATGCACGATTTTCTTTTAACAAGTTTAAATTCTATTGATTATTTCGACTTAATTCCATAAAAGAGCACTCAAATCACAATCACGGTAACTTGAAGACAACAAAAAAATCAAAAGAATCTGTCTTGCGCGAATTACGAGAGAAGAGAGAGAGAGAGAGGGAGAGAGAGAGAGAGAGGGGGAGAGATGAAATGAGTTAAACGTCCTACTGCTCTGGTCCGACTGCAGTGCGCTGCGGCCAGATCTTATATCGAATTCCAAATGTCAGGGGGGGGGGGCGCAGATTTCCCTCCGACCCTAACGCGTATACGTTGTCCTTTGCAAGGCCCTCGATCCTGCACCACTGACAAGAAGGGACCACACCGGAAAATCATGATGCACTTTCTCGACCAACGCAGGGATTGAACACAGGACGTACAGGTTAGCGCGACAACGTCTTGATCGAGTTAACGCCCACTCGAAACAATCCGGGTCTACTTCACAAGTATTGCTTCAACACCAAGATTGTATTCTTGTATTTTTGAACCCCGAAATATAAATTTATGCACGACGATTGCGATTCTAATTAAGAATATGATAGGCCTATTGGTGTACCAAGTTTTGGGTTGTTTTTGTTTTTTTGTATCGATAAATGCAACCGGGTCCCTTTTTTGATGTTACAATTGCTTGGCCCTGCAACTTTTGCTTTACAAACAAATATTGCGATAAATGGGTTTTAACGCCCACTCGGGGAATCGAAACTCCGATAGCAGTTGACTCATCGACAGACCTTATGATATAACGCGCACGTGCTAACCATTCGGCCATCCAACTCCCCGACTTTCATCGTCCACTGCTGTGTTTGCGGTGAAAAAATTAACTCCTAAAGATTAGCAAAGTATTCACACGTGTGTGTTTTGTATGTAAGCGGAATACGAAACATCATCACTGTGGAAGCGGCTAAATCATTAATTCAATCTCTCGTCCTTTGAAAATTCGACTATTGTAACAGTATACTAGCTGGAAGTACTCAGTCCACACTGTATAAGCTACAAAAAGTTCAGAATACAGCGGCCAGGATCCTAACTAGAACTAACAAATCGTCACACATAACTCCTGTCTTGAAATACCTGCATCGGCTTCCGATTCATGCACGTATTGAATTTAAGATCTTGTGTTTGACTACTGCACCCTTGTATCTTTCAGAAGTATTAACTATATACCAGCCTACCCGTACTTTCAGATCCCAACATCAAAACCTTTAATGCATTCCGTCATCAAAATTGAAACAATTTGGAGATAGAAGTTTCAGTGTTGCTGCACCCAAACTCTGGAATAGTTTGCTGTAAAACTCTAAGTTTAAACTATCTTATCCAGACTAAATTAATTGACATGTTTTTACTTCTTTTTGAAAGCGCTTTGAGCATGCTTTGGCGCTCTAGAAATCGACACTATTATTATTATTATATAGCCCGATGTAACGGGAAATATTTATCTTCGAGAGCTTTTTATTCCCATAAAGAGGAATCTGTTTATACCCTGAAGGAAGTAGGTTCATGCTGTTTTAAAGGGACAATAACACTCTTGCTGGCTTGACAGCTCCAAAAAATAAAAAAATAGCCTTGTTCTAAGTACTAGATGTATTAGTGTCCTACCTGTTGCGTAAATTATCCATTAAATCCTATTTTACTTGTCCAGAGAGTTCAAAAGTATTTTTAAATCCAAGTCACATTTGAAAAGCTTTACGTCAGGCTTTTCAAATCATTTAGTTGAATTTTTCCAATTTTTTTTAAATTAGGTGTGTTAAGATGAAATTTGTATCATCAATTAACTGGAATATTGTAAAATAGTACAATTTGTTGACCAGAATAAAGACGACATTTGGAAAAATCTTCTCCAGTCTTTATCAACTTGTGGAGCAAAATGAAATGAAATGGGCTAATGAAGACGGGCATAGGCCATACAGTGTGCTATGAGAGAAATTTTGCCCGGGCAGCGGCACTATCGCCTACTCCTATATCGAATTCCAACTGCCAAGGGATCTTTTACGTGCATTCCAATGTTTACACGGGACCTAGGTTTTTCGTCTCATCCGAAGGACTAGACAGCTGTCCTTGCCAGGCCCTCCGTCCTGCATCACTGACAAGGGGAAACCACGTCGGAAAATCGGGATGAACTTTCTCGGCCAATGCAGGGTTCGAACACCCGACCTCCAGGCTAACGAGCCAGCGCCTTACCCACCTAGCCACTGTGGCTCCCAACATGTGGAGCAACATCTTCATGTATTACATAGGAATGAAATGAAATGGGGTTGAACGCCCTACTTTTCTGCTCCAACTGGGAGAGAGAAAGGGAAAAATTGGGTTGAACGTCCACTTGACACATACAATGGTCATTTTGGGACCAACATATGGTTCAATCTTATTTCAATAATTCGCTTAGGTGTCTTAGTAGTGAGTGGGGGGGGGGGAACTGGAAGACCCAGAGAAAACCCACAAGTTTAGACAGACTCCAGCTGGGCTAATGAAGACAGGTGTGTGCGGTACAGTGTGCTAAAAGGAAAATTTTGACTAGACAGTGAGTGCTACGGACTACTCGTATTTCTAGTTCCAACTGTTAAGGGCTCTTTTACATACATGTCAGTGTGTATATGGAAACATTTTTCTATCGCATCCGTATGACTAGATAAGTGTTATCAGACCCTCCTTCCTGTAAAACTTACGAGGGGAGAGTCACGCCTGAATATCCTGAGGATCTATCCAACCAAATATCTTGTGGGTTTGTGAGTAGGCTAATTTAACCGCAAGGGTTAAAAAAACAACAACATTCATTATGTATAGATCTTATTGATTTTATTTTGTCCTTAACCAGCACTATAATAACATGGAAGGGGCTGGGGGAGTCCCTCTGGTCATTTGACTGACAAGACTCGCATCTTGTTATTGACTAAAATATTTTAAGCATAAATCTTTTTCAGTGGCATACTAGAATTTTATCTTAGCCAGAGAAAAAGTTTTATTTTTAAAATATTTTATTTTCAATTTTCAAGGGCAATGGTCTCGAGTTCAATAAATAATCCTGACTATTTGAAGACACAAATCGAACAAGTTAAAATGAAGTTCGATGACCTACATATTCTTCAGCTTCAAGAAACAAACAAAATCTTAAAGTGGCAGCCAGAATTTTTCTTAAAATGTATTTTTTTCAGTCATATCTTTTACTTTAACTTTGCTTCAGAGAACAGGAAAGGATGGAAAAAAAATACCCCCAGGAAATTTTCTTAAAATGTTTTTTTTTTCTTTTTTCAGTCATTTTATTTTTTTTAACGATCCTTTGATCCATTAACGTCTGTCTGCTTTCATTTTTCGTTTTCCTGAGAACAAATGTTTGGGTTTCTTTACTGCTATTCTTCGATCTGTTTCGAATATTCCCTGTCTGTGCATTGGTCCTACCGCTGCCTTGGCAAGTTTCTTTGCCTTCTTAGCCATCTGAAAATTACAAAGAAAACAGAATGAAACTGCTGGGCATTGGGAATGAAAACGAAAGGCATTTGGAATAAAATCAAAAGGCACTTAGAACAAAATCAAAAGGCATTTGGAATGAAATCAAAAGGCATATGGAATGAAATCAAAAGGCATTAACGACACTCATCCACATTTAAATACACAATGAAATGAATTAAATGGGATTTAACTTCCAACTTTTGTGTACCAATAGGACTAATGAATGCAGGGACCTACGCCCTGCAGTTGCTAAAAGGGAAATTTTACCCGGACACCAGCGTTTCTGGTTACTAATCTTCTTTGAATTACGTTCAAATCGTAAGAAACTCTCATTTAGGCCATACAAAAAAACTGGTCTGCTTCTCAGACAATCCTTCCTAAAATCTGATGCGGTAGATAGGATATTATTTTGTGTTTTTACTTTGATGCTAAATGACTTCTCATAAACATCGCATTTCAGGGCAATACATTTATCTTAACATCTTGTTTATAGCATGGTATCATTTAGGGTTGTCAGTAACATGTATCAGGCCTGGGTATATTTGAGCCTACAGTACACTTCTAGATTCATTACTTCTTGTAACCTAGGTAATGCATTTAGTGTGGCAAGTAATAATACTGTTATTTGGGTTGTCATGTGGTTGGTTTTAATTAATGTGGGAGTATTTGAGAACCATTACCTTATCATCTCTCATTCCTGATTTATCTCTGGGTGTAATAGATAGAGTGCGATGAGCAGACTTCTCACGTTTACGGGAAACACTTCTACTTCCTGAACGTGGGGCTTCCGATTCTTCACGTTTACGTTTAATAGCTCGTCTGCTTGTACTTCGTGATCTCTCATTATTCTGTGTCGCATAGTGAGTCTAAAAAAAATAAATATATATATACAAAATATGTAATATCTTTGAAAGGCATTTAGTGAAAGCGATATATAATAAACAGACAGCTTTATGGAAAACATTCACTAGGTTTATTAACTACAACGTTTCAATGGGGATTCTCTCACTGTTATCAAGCAATGACATGCCACTAGTTATTTGGTATTTGGGTAGCAATTGTCCGGTGTGCAATTGTCCTATGGGGCACCTCGTCTGAACAACTAGACACAATTGTCCTAGGGGGCACCTTGTCTGAACAACTAGACACAATTACCATGCCGGTAAAATCCTGATGAACTTTCTCAGCCATTGAACACGGAGACCTCCTGGATAGCGAGCCAACGACTTGCTCACTGAGTCACAGCATCTCCAACTTCATTTGGTGTCAGATAATAATGGCCCAGAAAGGTCGCTTGCTCGCTCCCTCCCTTTCACCATAGCCTTAATCACAGCCTCTTTCTTTCTTTATTTTGAATAAAGACAGAGAGAGAGAGAGAGAGTGCGTAAGTCTTTAGCAGTGGGAGGAGACACAGAGAGGGAAATGAGGTTTAACGTCCACTCTACAAAACATGGTTCATTTTTATTTCAATAATTCGCTTGCGCATAGGGGTCTTTAGCAGTGGGAGGAAACTGGAGGACCCGCAGAAAACCCACAAAGTTGGACAGTCAACCCTACTCCTTGTCATGTACAACTGGGGAATCGAAACCCCACCAGTTGACTCAATGACAGACCTTATGATACAACGCGCACGTGCTTACCATCCAACTCCCCTTATTTTGAATAAATGCAGATATTACAATCAAAATATGTCTTTCTACCTTGGATTTATTTTGAATATCAATTCCCAGTTCAGCCATTGTGTTCTCGATATCTGATTTATCAACCTTTTTACCAGTTCTGGGAAACTTAGTTTTAATTCCTTTCTTCTCTCTTGATTCTAACGTCTTCAACATTCTCTTGTGTCTTATCCTGAAAAAATACAAATAAAATCAACTTTTTAAATTAGGGTGAAAGTGAAATGGGCTTTCTCATCAGATCAACGTCAATAATCTTAGTGATAATTTAGGCAGATAGACGTTTCAGAGAGAAAGTGGGGGTGTAACATCAACTCGATTAGATCATTTCAGGACTAACACATACTTTTATTTTATTTCAATAATTCTCTTTTGCGTGTACAGGTCTTTGGCATTGGGAGGTAACTGAGGAACGTGGAGAAAACCCATGAGGTTGGACAGTTGACCCTACTCCTTCTCACATACAAACTGAGACTCAAAACAATGGCTAGGAGTCACAATGGCTAAGGGGTAAGACTGTGGCTTGCTAGCTTGGGGGGTCACGTGTTCGATCCCCGCATTGGCCAAGAAAGTTCATCAGGATTTTCCAGCGTGGAACCCCCTTGACGGTGGTGCAGGACATATCCCTTGGCAGTTGGAATTTGATATAAGAGTTGGCCATAGTGTCGTAAACGGGCAAAATTTCCCTCAGCACACTGTATGGCGTATACCCGTCTTCATTAGCCCAGTTAAACCCCATTTCATTTCATTTCAAAACCATGCCATTTGACTCAATAATGACTCAATAAAAACGTAAAAGAAGAATGTGTTTAACTTACTTTCTGGCAGTTTTCCTCAGATCCTTCATTTCCTCATCTTCCTCTTCTGTATCATCATTATAAAAACCAGCCTTCTCTCGTAACTCTTCTTCTTTCTCTAATTCTTCTAATTTCTACAAAAATAAATAAATTTACAATTTCACATAAAAAGAGCTTATGTCAATTCTATACATCTGAAACTATCAGAATTCACACACCCACTTTATGTATTTTGTATGTATTAAGAAACTAACCGTCATGATATCAGGGTCTATAAAATCAGCAACATTGTGTCCATTCCAGATTTCTGGTAGAACATCGTACTTCTCTTCTTCATTAGCTAAATCCCACGTTTCTGAAAAAAAACGAGCAAAATAGTAAAATATACTGTCAAAGCTAAAGACATGTATTATAAAAATATCAGTTCTGTGTACGTTTTACAACAGAATAATTTTTTTTACATTAACTAATTGTAAAGGTTTGTAGAGAACTTACTTCTTAAATCTAAACTATAGTCATCTCCCATTTCTAATTCAATATCTCTCTCCTGTAGATAAAATATAAAACACAATATTTAATATACCTAGTCTGTACAAGATAGTCTCCATTGTCAAGTACCACTGCTACGATAATAAACAAAGTCTTGATTATCCAGGTTATCGTTAAATTCTATCACCATCCAATGGCCTAGCGAGTACATTAGGGGCTTGTCACTTGGAACCATAAAAATGACCAACAGTAGGCAGATTTAGTTCTTGCAAACTGTATCTTTAAAGCACATAATAGTTTACATTGTAAAATAAAATGACATGCACAGACTTGGAGCACCAGATACCACCTCTAATTGCTATATTCTCTCGATTCACATCTTTAAAGGACAATATTGGTGTCAGCCATTATCACGTATCTGACAGAACTGGTTAAACATATTTCAATTATAATTTTAACACAGAGATCATTGCTACGATAGATGCATAACAAACACTTGAAGAAAAGGGAAGTGATGAAAAAAATGACGAACACGAGTTATCTTTCTATATAACTGACTGAAGTAACAAGTTATAACAGACACAGCAATATTGTCCTTTAAATTGAACTCTTATTTGAAATTTGCATCGTGGGACATGAAATGGGGTTTAATGACTTCTGATTCTGCCTCAACTGGAGTAATGGAGATGCCATACACAAGTGCTATGAAGGATTTCTATGACAGATTTCTAACTGTCAGGGTATTTTTAATGGGCTTCCAATAGTACAAGAATATAGAGAATCCCATCCAAATGAATAGAAAGACCCTTTGCCATCACCACCGACACAGCAGAAACCAAGTTGAAAAATCCTGATGAACTTTCTCCGACAACTCATTGACTCACCATGGCTCTCTGTCTTGGTTAGAATTGTTACTCTTTTTTATCAGCCATAATATCATTAAATCTTAGTTACCCCTTTTGACAGATTTTTTACACGGAACGTGAATCAATACTTACAAGTTTTCTTTTTTTACCATCAATCTCCATAGCTGCTCGTTTGGCTTTTACAGATTCTGGTATAAATGCTGGCCGTTTCTAAAAAAAAAAAAATGAAATGAGTTTTTTTTAATGCCCTCTGAAATGTTTTTTTTTTAATGCCCTACTGGACTATTGAAGACGGGCATATGTCATACAAAATGAAATGAACTGAAATGGGATTTAACATCCAACTGTACCTCTCCGACAGGGCTAATGAAGACTCAGGGTTTTCAACAGTTTCACCATAATATAATATCGCCTACTCTTATTCAATTTCCAAGTTGAAGAGTGGGCTTTGCTTTTTTTTTTGTCGCATCCAAATGACAAGGCATACTTTTCATGTCAGTCTGGTAGTATCCAGCCCAGAAAAGTGAAGACCGGGCTTGAAAAATGTTGCTCTGACAACTTAGAGACCATGTGCAAAGATTATTAGAATAGTATATGTCAAAACAAGTGAATGTATCTCTGTGATGATCAAGAATTCAATCAAAGTGAAAGCCAAACCAAACAATAATGCTGTACAATCCCAGGTCTGTAATGATAAATGTTTCATACAAAATGAAAACTACTAAACGTTCAAACTATCTACTTACCGTGGTATCACGTTTTTCTGGCATGGCTACTCGAAGTCGGTGAGCAACACCTTGAACTTTTTTACTTCTAATTTTTGACTCAACTCTCTGTATCAACAATCTATCACAGGCCTAGAAATGATCAAAATCCAAATATAGGCCTACATTATTTCAATTCATATTTTTGGGGGTATTTTTTATTCATTGCTTTTTTTTATTTGGGGGTTGGGTGGCTTTAGATGAGGGGTGTCAAACTTATTTCGATTCAGGAGTCACATGAACTTAAATTTTTACATTCAGTGGGCCGGAGATATACAAAAATATCAACATAAAGAAAATTTTATTGATTTATTTGACTAAAATCATTATATATGTTACAGTCAATGTCTACAATCAGGCAATGTGTACAATGCCTGAAATAACCAGTCAATGTGTACATTGCCTAATGAGGCCAGTCATTGTGGACATTGCCTAAAATTTCCAGGCATTGTGTACATTGCCTGATTAATTAGACCAATTATTGTACAAATTGACTGATTGTTGAAGAGCGATTATATAAAAGATACTTTAATAGGTTCTTTGTCGGTTAATATACTCAGCCAAATTAAAAACTTGACACTCAGGATTTTTGGGACTAGATTTTTAATATTTGGTTTAAGGCAACTATTTTAGTGTTATGTTGTGCACAGACGACCTTGACATCAACAGAAAGCAAGAATACGTCTCGCCGAAAGTCCTTGACATTGATACCGTTCGTGATGTCACAGTACCCCCCAAAATGAAATCCACAGACTTGGAGAACAATCGGAATAAAGTGTTTAGTAACGATTGTGGCCTCCTCTAGCCTCTCGTACTGCCACACAACGTCTTCTCATGGATCTCAGAACATTAGTAAACACTACCCGAGGAAGACGTCTCCACTGCCCAGCAAGAGCATGATGAAGGTCCTGCAACATCAGTGGTGGATTCACTTGCTGACGAACACGTCGACCCAGAGAAAACCCATGAGGTTGGACAGGCGACCCTACTCCTTGCCACGTACAACTGGGGATTCAAAACCACGCCAGTTGACTCAATGACAGGCTTTATGATAGAGTGTGCACGTGCTAACCTTACTGCCATCCAACCCCCCTTAACACATACAAGTAAAGTAGGACCTAGACTGTATCGGTACAGACAAAAAGTCTATCCTAGAAACTAGGGTAACAATTTTTAACACTATGAAATGAAATGGGGTTTAACGTTCTGCTTTTCTGCTCCAACTGGGATAATGAAAACAGGCTTACACAATACAGTGTGCTATGAGGGAAATTTGCCCGAAAAGCGGCGCTATAGCCTACTCTTATATCAAATTCCAACTGCAAATTGATTTCTTACAAGCACGCCAATGTGTGCAGAGGGGCTCGGTTTTTCGCTCCATCCAAACAACTAGACAGCTGTCATTGTCAAGCCCTCTGTCCTGCATCACTGACAAGGGGAAACCACGCTGGAAAATCTCGAACTTCCTTGGCTAATGCAGGGATTTTTGGGACTAGATTTTTAATATTTGGTTTAAGGCAACTATTTAGTGTTATGTTGTGCACAGACGACCTTGACATCAACAGAAAGCAAGAATACGTCTCGCCGAAAGTCCTTGACATTGATACCGTTCGTGATGTCACAGTACCCCCCAAAATGAAATCCACAGACTTGGAGAACAATCGGAATAAAGTGTTTAGTAACGGTTGTGGCCTCCTCTAGCCTCTCGTACTGCCACACAACGTCTTCTCATGGATCTCAGAACATTAGTAAACACTACCCGAGGAAGACGTCTCCACTGCCCAGCAAGAGCATGATGAAGGTCCTGCAACATCAGTGGTGGATTCACTTGCTGACGAACACGTCGACCCAGATGTGTTCAATAGGATTAAGGTCGGGGCTAAGCGACGGCCAATCCAGGACTTGGACACCGGCATTTCTTAAAAAATTCTGGGTAGCAATTGCTGTATGGGGTCGAGCATTGTCTTGTTGAAACGTTAATCCAGGCCCATGTCTCTGCATAAACATGCAGGTGTAACTGTTCTAAAAGTGGGAAACAGTGTGCCACAAATAAGTGTAAATGTTACAAGTTCGGTTTGTTATGTAACAGCAGATGCCACAACAGCATCAATTGTCAAAACAAAAATTGTTGACATTTCATGGCCACTTATATCATGGTTGTAATCAAGTTGACATGTACATGTTACCATTTGTCTGAGTATTTCACATGTATTCGAGAAATCATAAATTCATGTATTTTCATACTGTGTGAAATAAAGTCAATTCATCCGTCAAAGTGTTTATAATATTTGTCATTTATTTAGTTAAAAACAACAACTCTAGTGACAATCCTGTTATATTAATGTTTTAATCAAAGTAAATTTAATCATGAAGTACATTTTCCTTTCAAAGTCATTTTATTTTCAAAGTCATTTTTAAAATCAAAGTCATTTTTAAAATCAAAGTCATTTTTAAAATCAAAGTCATTTTTAAAATCAAAGTCATTTTTAAATCAAATGATTACCGACAAAGAACCTATTAAAGTATCTTTAATATGAAATGAAGCCTATGTGATCACAGAACGAAACCTATGGTAATCTAGTCTTCCCAATAATCGCTCTTCAACTATCAGTCAATGTGTACAATAATTGGGCTAATTAATCAGGCAATGTACACAATGCCTGGAAATTTTAGGCAATGTACACAATGCCTGGAAATTTTAGGCAATGTACACAATGACTGGCCTCATTAGGCAATGTACACATTGACTGGTTATTTCAGGCAATGTACACATTGACTGGTTATTTCAGGCAATGTACACATTGCCTGATTGTAGACATTGACTGTAACATATACATGTATTATAATGTAATACAATACTTTGAAATAGACCAAATTAGCAATTTTTTTAAATTGTACAAAAAAATTCTTTTAGAAACAACCAAAGAAAAAATCATTTCCATCGCTAGTTTCTAAGAATTATAGACACACCAGTTTGTTGAAATTTGTTCCACAGGCCACATTTAACATCTTGGCAGACTGGATCTGGCTCGCGAGCCACATGTTTGACACCCCTGCTTTAGACCATAAGGTCTGTCACTGAGTCAAGAGAACTAACAACATATGATTCAATTTTATTTCAATAATTTGCTAGCACATACAGATCTTTAGCAGTGGGAGGCAACTGGAGAAAACCCACAAGGTTGATATAGGCAACCCTATTCTTTGTCACGTACAAGTGGGGAATTGAAACCATATCACTTGATTCAATGACAGACTTTATGATACAGCGCGCATGCTAACCATTCGGCCATCCAACCCCCCACCCCCACCCACTAATTGTTGTAACTGTGTAGTCAAATCGTAGCTAATCAACAGATTTTCTTCACCAGCTGAAGTCTAAGAAAATCCACTTTCAACAATTAATTTATTTCAGTCCAAGGATGACTTTTAACTTAAGTTATCTTTATGACCAATTGAATTCAGACCCCATCCTTAGGGTTTCTGTCATGGCTCTGTTAAAAGCGCATGCGTTAACCATTCATCCACTTACCCCCCATCCCCCTTATAGATTAAACTATAAAAAATTACATATTGTCTTTAAACTTCTTTCATGGGAAAATAAAATGAAATGAAATGGGGTTTAACGTCCTACTGTTCTGCTCCTTTACTGGGCTAATGAAGACGGGCATACATCATGCAGTGTGGTATGAGGGAAATTTTGCCCGGACAGCGGCACTACGACCTACTCTTATATGGAATTTCAACTGCCAAGGAATCTTTTACGTGTACATCAATAAGTACACAGGACCTCAGTTTTTTGTCAGATTCAAACAACTAGACAGCTGTCCTTGTCAGGCCCTCCGTCCTGCATCATTAACAAGGGGAAACCACGTTGGAAAATCGTGATGAACTTTTTCGAAAAACACAGAGATCTACCCCGCGAACTCCAGGATAGTGAGCCAGCGTCTTACTTAGCCACCGTGGTTCCCTCATAGGAATACGCAATGAAGAATTAAATTTAATCTCAGATGAGTAACTTCAAGCTACTTTCTCCCCTCCTACACAAACTTTACGAGTACAACAAACAAGATTGATATCTTACCTCACTTCTGACTTCCATGACACCAACCTCTGTTAATGTACTCATACAAACTATTGGTATAGAACTATCTTCAAATTCACTAAATAATTCCTAAACATAAAAATAATGTTTATAATAAAACAGAGAATCTACTATTAAGATTAATATTATGGTTTTAGAGAATATCTGATTCAGCGTAGGTAACTACACATCACAGCAAGATTTTAGGACAAGAAGAGCAAGAGAAGGGGTGAGGAAGAACGAGAGAGAGAGAGAGAGAGAGAGAGAGAGAGACGCATACCGATGTATGAGAAAACTTTTGTCTGAACAGCAGCACTACAGCCTACTCTTATATCAAATTTACAGCCCAATTTTACTAAATTTATCAATGTAAATTATAATAAACTACTTACTTTTTTCTCTGGTGGTAAATCGTCCATAGTAAGTATATCTATTTTATTAATAACAATAATCAATGGTTTGTTGCTAAACAATGGTTTAATATTCTTAAATAATGATATCTGAAAAATAAAAAATAACTAACATTATGTTAAATTCTTTTCTTGATCAAGACAAGAGAACCCAGGAATAAACTTTTATGTAAAATGTTTATACTTCATTAATTTATGTTAAAGATACATTATGTAAGATTTAGATAAAGAGCTAACCATTCTTGCTATAATAGTTCGAAAGTAGATGATGTAAAATGAATAATTTGAAAATTTCATTCAAATTACTCTATTGCACAGATGTGTGCAATAATTTCAACCACCGTACTGGTTGATTGAAGCTAAGTCTCAGTCCTCCATATTTGATTAAATCAAAGTATCGCTGAACCATTCTAATCTATTTAATATCGGAGAAATCTGATGCCATCGAAAGTTGATTAAGGCATCGATCAGTTAATTAATGTCTAATTAATACTTTAGAAAACATTTCAGGCCTAAAAAAAGACCTGCAATAGGCAGATTTAGCTCTTGCATAATGCATGTTTAACATGGGACACAATTATATGGACTACCAAGTTTCGAGAGAGAGAAAAGAGAGAGAGAGAGAGAAATGGGGTTTAACGTCCACTCGACACAAGCTAGGTCATTTCGGGACTAACACATGGTTCAATTTTATTTCAATAATTCGCTTGTGCGTAGCCGTCTTTAGCAGTGGGAGGAAAACAGAGGACCTAGGAAAACCCACGAGGCTGGACAGGCGACCCAACTCCTTGTCACATACAACCGGGGAATCGAAACCACGCCAGCTGACTCAATGACAGACCTTATGATACAGCGCGCATGTGCTAACCATTTGGCCATCCAATCCCCCTACCAAGTTTCGACGAGGATCCTTTAACTAAAACAAACGATTAAAGATAATTTTCTGTCTTGTCTCCTATGGCTTTAATTTGTAGAATACAATTCATTGACAGAGCCTCATATTAATAGCATACAATCTTTTGATAAGAGCCTCCTATATATAGGACATAATTCCTTTACAGACACAAATATCAATAATATACAATTCCTCAACAGGCGCAAATATTAATAAAATATGACAAGAGCGTGATAATTTAAAATATTGGAAACAAGAAATTCTACCTGCTGTTCGAGTGAATGACCACATTGTTCGGATATATCCATAATAAATAAAACAGCAGCTCTAATATGTGCTAATGCTGTTATAGCCTGCATCTCGATGGTATTCCTTTCTTCTAGAGAATGATCTAATAAACCAGGGGTATCTATTACCTGAAAATAAAATAAATTATCCATTTGATGTTTACATTAAGTTCTGTTTTCCTCTTATTAACAGTCAATTTTTTATTGCTTCATTTTTTGACTGACCATTATTACAATCTATCCATTTGTAATCTGATTAAAATACAGATCTAAATTTCATTTCGTTTTTATACTTTCGATGGCCTACACTACATGAAGATCTGGCTGGTTGTAGCAATAGGTTGTGGCGGAGGTCGTACGAACGGCTTTTGACCCTATGACATTTGATTAACCAATCAGCATTGATGTTACTAGTTGATTATCCACAGTTCCGTGCAAAACACGCCTAAAGCTCACCGTAACACACCGTTTCATTGGCTAATCCCTCACGCCATTCAGAACACATAATGATAACAACTCTTCCGGATCCTAGTGTAGTAAAGACAAGTAAAACGAAATTTTGAACAATAAAAACGAAACGAAATAGGATCTGTGTTTTAATCAGATTGATCCATTTGAAGTTTACATTATGTTTTCCTGCAATATCTCTTATTAACATAGTCAATATTTGAACACTTTATTATTTAACTGACTACAGTTCTGAGTCTGCTCCGTTTGTAACATCATGAATACAGTGAGCTTTTTAACATTCTACTCCCAGTCTGGATAAACATGCTATATCATCAGTCTGTGTTAGTCAAAACTACTTAGTTGTAATTGCCCGTCATGAGAACTTACCCGTCAGACAATTCACAAGCCACGAAATTAGAATTTCAAAGAATTTATAGTTAGAATGTGTAAAAATAATTAAAGATTGAGTTGTCTCACTCTTTGGAAAAAGTATTTTGCTAATCCATGTTAAGCGAAAATAATAAAAACTTAACCGGCTGGCCAAATTTTGAAATATACTATTCAAAAAAAGTAGGGGATATTTGATTTTTAAGTGTTATTAAAGTCACCTAATGAAACTGACGAAGAAACAAATGACAAAATGAAATGAAGTTCACATTCATCGATTTATTCCAAATGATCGTTAGACTAAGTAAGGCACAGACTGACCATTATAAGGGTAAAATGATACCCGGGGTCAAACAGCAAAGTTACCACAGCATCACAACCAAGTCAGTAACGGGTAAATCCTCCTCTGTTTGCCAAACAAGCATTGATTTGACGTGGCATACTCCTAATGAGACGTCTAAGGTCATTTTGGTCCAGATTGTCCCATTCCTGTTGCAACGCAGCAGCAGGTTCTTGGACATTGGCAGGACGTTGTTGACGTTGACGTAACCTCTGTCCAAGCATGTCCCAGACATGCCCGATGGGGGAGAGGTCGGGACTCAGTGCTGGCCAAGGTAATGTGGTGATGTTCTGTTGTTGGAGGTAACCTGTAACGATCCTGGCCCTGTGACATCTTGCGTTGTCATCCTGGAAGATGAAACGGCGGCCATGACGTCGTGCGAACGGCACAACATGGACTGCCAAGATGTTGTCCCGGTAGTACTGGCCTGTAACACGCCCTGCAACAACATGTAAAGCCGTTCTTCCAGCAACAGTGATGCCTCCCCACACCATAACAGAACCACCCCCAAATCGATCATGTCTGATGACGTTAACGTCTTGGAAGCGCTCGTTTCGACGACGCCACACCCTCCTACGTCTGTCCAAAAAATCAACAGTGAACCTTGACTCATCTGAAAACATCACATTGCTCCAGCGTCGATTATACCAGTGTTGACGATCCCTACACCAACGACGTCTTGCCCTAGCCACACCCGCCTACGTCTGTCCAAAAAATCAACAGTGAACCTTGACTCATCTGAAAACATCACATTGCTCCAGCGTCGATTATCCCAGTGTTGACGATCCCTACACCAACGACGTCTTGCCTGAATGTGATGATCTCTCAAACAAGGGATCACGCGAGGACGTCGGACGCGAAGGTGACCCCTCTGCAGTCGATTCCGAATCGTCTGGCCACTCACTCTCACACCAGTGTCTGTTTGAAGAGGAGCGCTGATCTGATTTGCTGTGATGACACGATTTCTCAAGGCCAAGGTACGGATAAATCGATCCTGGGCTTGAGTTGTCGCCCTTGGTCGACCTGAGCGTGGTCTGTCCTGTACAGATTGTGTATCACGGTATCTGGACCATAGCCTGCTTATGACAGACTGAGAAACATTCATCGTCCGCGCCACAACCGCCTGTGTTGTGCCGATCTGTAGCATGCCAAGGGCACGTAACCTTTCATTTTGGGTAAGCCGACGCATATCAAAATTTGTTTTCTGGTCACTAAAACAATTAAACTGATGTTTCCACCCTGGAATTCAATGCCACAATGACTGTAACATTCAAAGTCAGAGTCGTGCAAATCTTGGGTTGGACCCCCATGATGATCCCAAGCATCACCTGCATTCCATGCGGTAGCTATTGGTGCGTTTGGGCGTCACATGTAACTGGAAATGTTTCTTCTGTTAGGTTCTATAGTGACTTTTTTCGTAGTCATTTGCATATTTTAGTATTATGCCCCCAAAATCAAATATCCCCTACTTTTTTTGAATAGTATATTTTGAAATGAATGGACACAATGTAACAGAATGAACTGCTATATTTTAGCATGGTATAACCTACCTGCCAATGTAGATATATGGTATAACCTACCTGCCAACGTAGATATATGGTATAACCTACCTGCCAACGTAGATATATGGTATAACCTACCTGCCAACGTAGATATTTATAATCTGTGTGACCCACGTATAAAGATTTTGTAGTGAAAGCATACGGCTGTACTTCTACATCAGCTCGAGTTATCTACAAAAACAAAATGTATAAAATGAAACATACAGTTAGGAAGCTCTTATTAATAAGAAATATTCTTATTTAAAATATAATATCAGTAGGGAAAACTTCCAACATTTCACATCCACTCAACACAAGCTAGGTCATTTCGTGACTAACATATGGTTCAATTTTATTTCATTAATTCACTTGCGCGTAGGGGTCTTTAGCAGTGGGAAGAAACCGGAGGACCTGGAGAAAACCCACGAGGTTGGACTGGCGACCCTACTCCTTGTCCCGTACAACCGGGGATTCGAAATCACGCCACTTGGCCACCCAACCAACAGGGAATGGAAAGAGTAAAAAAGATCTTGGTCTCGCCATTTCATAATTGCACATCAAATGATAAACCTCTATCTTTGATTATGCCAGGTTCAAAATTTTATTAAACTTTGCTGTTGCTTTATTGCTCGTATGTTTTTTGTTTGTTTTTTAAAAAAAAAGTAAAATATATTTACCTTATTAATAAAACTTGATTTACCGACGTTCGGGAATCCTGTGATTAATAAAGTTCTGTTATTTGGATCGATTGACGGCAGACGGGATAAATGTTGACGAACTTCTTCTAAATATTCCAAACTCTGTTTCTGTCTCTTCATTATAGTACACATCCTAGAAATAACAAACCAATCAAGTTATAGACATAAAATTAGAATAACAATTTAACCTTAAAATACAATAAATACTTTTCAAGTTTTTATGTGTAAAATAAAACACCCCTAAATATATAGGCTACATATTTTGTTAAAGAACAATAAGTCAAAACTGACTTCCATTCCCTCTACATAATGAAAACATTTAAATTCTGTCTGGAATTATAAATGACCGAGAGATTTCTTGTATGAACGAATTAATTCTACCTTCCGAGTGCTGCTCTTTTGAGCTGTTTACATCTGTATAAACTGTCTCCATACTTTAATAATCGTACGTAATCTTTGGCTACACTGAAAATACATGAAATTATTCACTCTCACATTCTGTATATATGACATATAAAAATAGTTTTATTAACACATACAAGTAAAGTAGTATCTAGATAGTATTGCTACAGACAAAAAGTCTATCCTAGAATCTAGGGTAACAATATTTAACGCTATGAAATGAAATGGGGTTTAACGTGTCGTTCTACTTTTCTGCTCCAACTGGGCTAATGAAGCAGGCATATGCCATACAGTGTACTACGTGGGAAATTTTGCCCGAACAGCGACGCCACAGCCTACTATTATATCGAATTCCAACTGCCAATGGATCTCTTACATGCACGCCAATGTGTGCACAGGGCCTCGGATTTTCGCACCATCCGAACAACTAGTCAGTTGTCCTTGTAAGGACCTCTGTCCTGCACCACTGACAAAGGGAAACCACGCTGGAAAATCTTGAAGTTCCTTGGCCAATGCAGGGATCGAACACGTGAGCTCCAGACTAGCGAGCCAGCGCCTTAACTCACTTAGTATATTCGTGGCTCCTACTCTTCATTCATCAAACTGCAAATGTTTGGATAGAATGAGAGAGAGAGAGAGAGAGGGAGAGAGGGAGAGAGAGAGAGAGAGATAGAGTTTAACGTCCACTCAATGGTCATTTCGGGACTAACACATGGTTTAATTTTATTTCAATAATTTGCTTGCGTGTAGGGGTCTTTTGTAGTGGGAGGAAACCGGAGGACATGGAGAAAACCCACAAGGTTGGACAGGTGACCCTACTCCTTGTTACATACAACATACTGTTTGGATGGAATGAGTGCAATATAAATATTTATCATTATATATAAGTTTATAAGTCTGAGTATATATTTATGTGTATATATATATACATGTACATTTACCCGTCTTATTTACCTGTATATATATTTACCTGTCTATATATACATGTACCTGTCTATATTTACCTGTATATATATATAGCTGTCTATATATACCTGACTATATATTTACCTGTCTATCAGATGTCGAGCTGTATTCATCTGACCAAGAGCTAATTTATAATGATCTTTATCATATAAAACATTCATTAAATCAGCATAAAATGGATGTATATCCTAAAATAGAAAGATCCTTATAATTAATCTCACAGAAAAGTTATAAGCAAGTAAGTATTAACATTTAAAAGCGCTCATCATTTGGGGGATATAAACGTAATATCAACTGTTTTTAGACCATTAATGGTATAACATTGTGATGAAGTATTGTTTTAAGTGTGAAATATAGTAAAATCGTTAAATGTGTTAAAGTTTATATACTTTAATGTTATCTATGTACATTTAATTTACAATCAGGCCTGGAAATAACGGTTTTACGATGAAATAGTACCTGACATTTTCAACTTAGTGCTGGTCTGCTGGACATGTATTACATGTAATAATATCAATAAAAAAGACAAATCAGTGCTGGACACAATGACAGGCACCAGAGGTTTAGTGCCTGACAAAGCTTGAATCTGTGCCTGACATTGTCAGTGACAGGTGCCTTATTTCCAGGCTTGTTTACAATACATAATATTAATATCTGCATATATTTATGGCTATAGCAAACTCTTTGTTACGTCTGTAATAAAGTTCAGTTGGAATATATATCCATAAATGGTTAAATTCATTCAATATTTACAAAGATATGATAAATTGTCAGCAAGACAATAAAGAAAGTCAATGATTAAAAATTTATTTACCTCTAATTTGGGGAAGTCAGTTATAATCATTGTTAGTTTGTCATGGTAACTCTGTTGACAAAACTTCACTTTTCTTGTGTAGAAACCTCGAATTCTGGATATCTTGTAACCTCTGTGAACAACTGTTGGAGTTTTTCTTTGGGTTTTGGACAAAATAATATCAATAAAATCCTGAAAAAAAAAAAAAAAAAAATACATGCATAACTCCATAAACTGCAGTATTTTTTATAAAGTTTATCTAATAGGGGTGGAGTCACGATACCTCCATGACCATGAGTGACGTGCTTACATACAAGCCAAAAAGTCTCTGGTTCAATCCTATAAAGAGGGAGAGAGAGAGAGAGAGAGAGAGGTTTAACACAACTCCACACAAACTAGGTCATTTCGGGACTAACACATGGTGCAATTTTATTTCAATAATTCGCTTGCGTGTAGGGGTCTTTAGCAGTGGGAGGAAACCGGAGGAAACCGGAGGACCCGGAGAAAACCCACAAGGTTGGACAGACGACGAGATGATCTATGGAATTTTCCAGTCTGGTTTAGGATAACAGACCAAGCAAGGCAAAACCTACATTGTCGTTTGGATGGCAAGAAGGACTGTGTGCTGTATCACTGACAGCATGTCAAAGATCCCTGCCTCTATTCAAACGCTCTCTTGGTGTACAAAATGAAATGAAATGGAGTTTAACGTCCTACTGTTCCGCTCCTAACCAGGGCTAATGAAGACGGGCATACGCCATACAGTGTGCTATGAGGGAAATTTTGCCCGGACAGCAGCACTACGGCCTACTCTTATATCGAATTCCAACTGCCAAGGGATCTTTTACGTGCACGCCAATGTGTACACGGGACCTCGGTTTTTCGTCCCATTCGAACGACTAGACAGCTTTCCTTGTCAGCCCCTCCGTCCTGCATCACTGACAAGGGAGAACCACGCCGGAAAATCTGGATGAACTTTCTCGGCCAATGCAGGGATCGAACACCCGACCTCCAGGCTAGCGAGCTAGCGTCTTACCCACAAAGCCACGTGATCCTCTGGTGTACAAAAGTAAGGTGCTAATTTGCAATTTGGTCAAAATGGCCAACAAAACATTTGTTATTTGTCATGATCCCAATGATATTCTGTTCATTTCCATAAATCTACCATAGCATAACATAATGGCACACTATTTACTATTTATATTTTAAAGGGACAATAACACTCTTGCTGGGTTGACAGCTCCAGAAAATAAAAAATAGCCTTATTCTAAGTACTAGATGTGTTAGTGTCCTACCTGTTGTGTAAATTATGCATTAAATCCTATTTTACTTGTCCAGAGGGTTCAAAAATATTTTTAAATCCAAGTAACATTTTAAAAGCTTTACGTCAGGCTTTTTTAATCATTTAGTTGAATTTTTCCAATTTTTTAAATTAGGTGTGTTAAGATGAAATTTGTATCATCAATTAATTGGAATATTGTAAAATAGTACAATTTGTTGACCAGAATAAAGATTTGGATATATTATTCAGTTACAACAAGAGCAGTATTGAGCTTTTAATATCAACATAGTACTCAAATAATGTAGACAGCTAACACATAACAGGACTATGTAATCTGGTAAAAATTCTGGCAAAAATGCATTTTGTAGGTCTACTCCATATCATATATGTGGTGGGGATACATGTACCTATCATATGTAGTGTTGGCATTTCTGATTCTTGGGTCCAGGTTGACACCTGTCAAAAGGTAGAAATCACAACAGATTAAGGTTAAAACGATCGGGGTTAATAACAGGCCATTCTTCTTTAAATTTCAAGGCTCTAGGACCAAGGGAAATACTAAGAGTAGGGCCTACGAAGGTGCAATATATAGAAGGCCAAGCACTGCTTGTCACACATGAGAAGCAGTCATTACAATTATATCAAAGTCAGTATCATATGATGAAGAAACGACACTACCACGCATTTTTATTTGCTTATCGATTTCATTAATGTATCTATTTGAATAATAAAAACATGTTTCCATACCTTGGCCGTCGGGACGACCGTTATTTTCTTAAAATTATACTGAGACATCTTGCTGTAGTTCCTACAGAATCTGCCCCACGTGTTTAAAGGACTGTTCCGGGGTAAATTATTGTTTACTTCCGGTGAAATATTTTCTGTTTGCGTCCAACATTTATCACAGTAATAAATTTATAATCTATTTCAATATATCATAATTGATATTAGAATTTCTATTAATCTATCTTAAGAGCCTCTGTAATTTATTGATATAGTGGAATGAAATCTAATACCGGCACCAAAATTTGTTAACTGGAGTTGTTTCCACTTAACTGTTTGGTATCACGAAAAACGAGACAACTCGCCTAGTTAATAATCATCCAATTTTTCTTTTCTAGATTAGCACATTGATTTGTCGCTTTTAATTTTCCTTCGGCCGTTGATCAGATTAAATTTGTCCCCACTGGAATTTCCGTCGGCGCTTACTTGAAATTGCCCATCCCTCGCAATGATAATTAGTACGTTTAATTCTTTCAATATCGAATAATAATCAAAAATTGATTATAATTTTATTGTCTCACCAAATAGTGGAATCATTTCAAGACTTTTCTTTAGTTATTTGTTTTATATTTAACAATTTCGACCGATTATCAGTGTGCAAAAAAAACAAAAAAAAAACATCATTGGTATTGTATTCCTCCTATCATTGAATTTAATTGTGCGCAATGTAATTGCACGCTTTAATCAGCTTCGTTTTCAGATCCGACAAACGGGGGAGGGGGGGCGATTGCGTTCGTTGGGCGAATTGTCTGCAGCGTGCTCGCTGTGGCGCCTGGGTAATCAAATCTAACTTTATATTAATAAAGGACGTGAATCAATATCAAACCCTATTTGAATTAAAACAATGTAATGACTTCTGTATTTTTTATACACCTATCACTATTAAAAACAGAACCATATAGACTGGATTCAGAAATATACATTTTGTGGCCTGTCAGAGTCAGAAAATAATTTTCAGATAAAGCATGATATCCGAATCGCGTCAACCTTTTGAACTAATCCACTTGAGATTTATTATTTCCTGTCACGTGACCGTGTTTCCCGCCACTTTATGTACCTCCATGTGAAGCGATTGTTTACAAAAAGCTTCTCTTGACTTTTGTAAGAATCTCAAAAGCTTGACAGCTTTTAAAATGTGGATTCAAGTACGGAGCATCGATGGGAAAAAGACAGTCAGGGTTGACGATTTGTCTAAGCTGACGAAAATAGAAGATCTACGAAAGAAATTGATCGAACCATTTGAAGCTGAAACTGATTCGCAAAAACTTTTTTTTCGCGGAAAAATTCTGGTCGATGGTCATTCACTGTTTGATTATGATGTTGGCCTCAATGATTTGGTACAGATTATGGTTCGAAAACCAATAATCGAAACCAACAATAATGTCGCCGATGGAGACGAATTAGAATCATCCGATAAAGAAAACCAAAAACCGGAGACGCCCGAAAAGGCCAACTCTGATATCGAGGATGAAGAAGTTGGCGATATCGAGGGAAATATTTATAAAGTTGGGGATATAGTTGACGCCAGAGATCTGTCAAATGGAGCCTGGTTTGAAGCTAAAATTACAAAAGTTACTAAAGATAATTCCGAAAGCGCTACAAAGGCCGAGTCCGATGACATCACCGATACGAATAAAAGGGATGAATCGGACGGTTTTCTGTATCATGTTCAGTACGAGGGCTATGAAGAGGTTGAACAATTAAAGCTTAAAAATGTCAGACCTCGTTGTAAAAATGTCATCAAGTTTCCAAATATTGAAATTGGTCAGAATGTGATGGCTAACTACAACTGTGAAGATCCCACAGAAAGAGGATTCTGGTACGATTGCCTTATAACTGGTAAAAAAGAAAACAAATCGAAAGAACTTTTAGCTACTGTATACGCAGGAGTCGATCTTACACCTCTTGAAGACTGCAAATTAGTTTTCCCTAACGAAGTGTTCAGCATTGAATCCGCTGGAAGTCAGATAAACGAAAAAGATATAGATTTAAACGATGCTACGTCAACTCCCACGATGCGGAAAAACAAGATAGAATGCGAGAAATGTCGTGATAATCCTAGGGTGAAGTGTAAAGAATGTGCTTGCAGCGTGTGCGGAGGAAAGCAAGAGCCGGAGAAACAGATACTGTGTGACGAATGCAACAAAGCTTATCATTTATTCTGTATGAATCCCCCATTGACCAAAGTCCCGGAAGAAGATGAATGGTATTGCGCAAACTGTAAAAATGACGAAACTGAAGTCGTGAGAGCTGGAGAAAAACTGAAGCAGAGTAAAAAGAAGTCTAAGATGGCGTCTGCTACTTCTAAGTCGAGTCGTGATTGGGGAAAAGGCATGGCATGCGTAGGTAGAACGTCACAATGTACTATCGTGCCGCCGAACCACTTTGGTCCCATACCTGGAATTGAAGTAGGTATGATGTGGAAGTTTCGCGTACAAGTCAGTGAAGCAGGCGTCCACAGACCTCACGTTGCAGGGATTCACGGTCGGGAAGACGAAGGCTCATATTCTATCGTTTTATCCGGCGGCTACGAAGATGACCATGACGGAGGTGATGAATTTACGTACACAGGAAGTGGAGGACGAGATTTATCCGGGAATAAAAGAACAGCAGAACAGTCATGTGATCAGTTATTGACACGAATGAATAAAGCCCTCGCTAAAAATTGTAACGCGTCGATAAACGTGAAAGATGGCGCTGAAGCTAAAGACTGGAAGGGAGGTAAGCCAGTTCGGGTCGTCAGAAATTGTAAAGGCAGAAAACATTCCAAATACGCTCCAGAAGAAGGCAATCGCTATGATGGAATTTACAAAATCGTCAAATATTGGCCAGAAACGGGTAAATCAGGATTCATAGTTTGGCGTTACTTGTTAAGAAGGGATGACCAAAACCCAGCTCCGTGGACCTCAGCTGGTAAAAAGAAAATTAAGAGTTTGGGCCTGGAAATGAAATATCCAGATGGTTACCTCGAAACGCTGAAAGAAAAAGAGAAAGATAAGGAAGAAAACCAGGGAAAGGGAAAGAAACGAAAGCAGTCCGTGGAGTCACCTACTAGCACCCCTAAAAAGACAAAAATCTCGGCTTACACACTGCCGGCAGATCTTCAAAAATTGGTGAAGGAAGACGATAAAAATAAGAAAATTTGGGACGAGGCTTTAATTTCAAGTGAAGAGGGAAAGGCTAAATTTCTACAAAGTGTTGAAGATCTGTTTACATGTATTTGTTGCCAAGAAATTGTTTTTAAACCTGTAAGTCTGGACTGTTCTCATAATGTCTGTAAGTCTTGTTTATCCAGATCATTCAAAGCTCAAGTGTATTCTTGTCCCGCATGTCGTCACGATCTAGGGGAGAAATATCCGATGGAGGTGAATGCCCCGTTGTCGAAAGTGCTCTGCTCCCTGTATCCAGGTTACGAGGCTGGGCGTTGATGTGAATAGATTTTATGACGTTTTATTTCAATTCAATAAGCTGACATCTCCACTTGAATATCACTATTGTGCCGCAGCTTGCAAACCATTACAAGATGTTTTAATTCAACTCAATAAGCTGAAATCTCCACTTAGCTATCACTGCCGCAGCTTACAGGCCATCTCATATCTCCACTTACAATATAGCTGTCACTGCTGCAGTCTTTTAATTTTGAATCATTTAGCTGATACAGTATCTTTGCTTAACTATCACAGCTGCAGCTTGCAGATCGTTACAAGTCTTTTTGGGGTCGTTATTTGATTGACAGTTGTCGTATAGATGATTCAAAACATGTACAAACATCAATTCACATTCTGAAAAATGAGAAACTAATTCACAATTATTTCATTATGGACTTTTGTTCTGTAACATAAATGAATAACATAGTAGTCTGAGTTATTTTCACATTTAATTAAGAATAGAAAATCAAAATGTCAATGGTAAATAATCTCCTGGCTTCAATACAGTTGAATTGAAAAGAAACCATGAAAAGATTTTAGCAACGACAGTTACTGTAGTGGCTTGGGTAGACCATATCTCGTTTATACATGTATCGTCTTTAAACCAAATGTTGACAAATTGTCAATCCCATGATGTACACATAATTTGTAAACTGAACGAAATTCAACCAACTTTTAGACTTCAGAAATGATGACCAGATACTTAATAAAATATTTCAATACACAGTTTTATTCTTTAACGAAAAAAATTATATTATTAACAATTGAATATCATCCTCTTTCTGGTCACATTAAATTCATCAGGCATTTATTTCTTAGTTTTTTCAATATTTTTATCTTATCATGGTCAGTTGTGCATTTATTTTTAAATTAAATCAGTACTCATGGTATTTCCACATATCTAAAACTAACAGGTCTGGAAATAACCATACAAAATGACAGTCACCATTAAACTGGAAATAACTTATTACCAGACATGTATAAAGACAAAGGCCTTGTGTGTGATACAACCCCTGAATTTGTGTCTGACACTGTCTGTGACTGGTGCTGTATTTCCAGGCTTGTATTGGTATAGATGTTACCTGTATGCATGCTATAAATTGATATATGTGCTGTAGAATATGATGAAAAATGTATAATTGATTTAGATTTTAATTTCCATTGTAAACAAAGTTATTATTTGTTGTTATTCATTGTTTTAATAGAATTAACTGTATATATATCCACATGTGTGTATAAATTTATAATTGATAGTCATGTAGAAACTTTATATTATATAATTAGTTTTATAAACCATAGTTGTTAATTTACCTTTATATTACCTGACCGACTCCTTATTAAATTCATTCAATGATACATGTAACTGACAATACCAGGACATAATTCTGTGAAAAAAAGTTACTGTTATGTTTTGTTGTTTTCAGCAACATTTAGTAACTGAATGAGAACATACGACACAATTATATGAAATGCAAGTTACTTAAACATACAACTTAAACATACATTATGCAAGAGCTAAATCTGTCTATTGCAGGTCTTTCGTTAGGCCTGAAATGTTATCTAAATTATTAATTAGACATTAATTAACCTATCCAGGCCATAATCAACTCTCGATGGCAGCACTAGCCTGCAATCTTTAGTGGATTGTGAGCCGATTTACTGCAAAACTTTCCTTCTTGATATAATGATTAAATGGATAATTGAGACTATGCTGTTTATTGGACTGACTTTAGTAATGATGACCAAGGCTAGGGGGAAATTTCAGTTGCTTAGTTCTCGGTTCATAGTGGATCAATTTGAATGAAATTTTCAGCAAATTACCTTTACATTATCTAGTTTTTAACTATTATAGTGAGAACTTCCAACTCGTTACCGAATCTCCCATAATGTATCTTTAAAAGATTGTTTCTGGCGACATTTCGATGAGGGTTATCTCATATTTATCAATCAAAAAATGATGAAAGACGAGAGAAGTCCGAGAACCCTTGTTGAAACATTACCAGAAATAAACTTTAAGTAGCTTGTATTCTATATAATTGTGTTATTCTGTTATATTACTATTCCATGGTTGTACGTGACAAGGAGTAGGGTCACCTATCCAACCTCGTGGGTTTTCTCTGGGTCCTCCAGTTTCCTCTCACTGCTAAAGACCCCTATGCACAAGTGAATTATTGAAATAAAATTGAACCATATGTTAGTTCCAAACTGACCTAGTTTGTATTGAGTGGACATTAAACCCCCATCTCTCCCTGTTATATTCTTCGCATTACTGTAAATCTTGAATCATAATGTGAATAGGGGAAAAAGGCTACACTCCAATATGATAATTTGTATTTATTTTAGTTCTGTGAAAATAAATTTACTTGTTTAAGCATTTGTCTAGAAGAATAATTAAACCCTGTTACTATGGTGCATGTGGTATAAAAATAAAATGGTGTATTATATATCAATTAATAATCCAATAAAAGTGCTCATTTTCATATTTTTAATTATTCATTATACATCTACTATATTTAATGTACATGTATGTCATGCTTGATGGAATGGCATTGCCATTCATGCTTGACAGAATGGCATTGTCGGTCATGCTTGACGGAATGGCATTGTTGGTCATGCTTGACGGAATGGCATTGTCAGTCATGCTTGACGGAATGGCATTGTCGGTCATGCTTGACGGAATGGCACTGTCTGTCATACTTGACGGAATGGCATTGTCAGTCATTTTAAATTGGATGTTACCCTAAAACACACTAAATACTGTAAAGTTAGGTGTTGATATAGTCATATGAAAGGCCCCGGGGAAGAATGATCTAAGTCACTTTTTCAACGAACCCCAGTTAATAGTGCCATCTGGTAGCAAATTGTATAAGCTTTCTGTGGAACATTAGATTTCAGGTAAAAATGATCGGAGTCACATCGAACCAAGGCCCTTCTGAAATGGCCTCCCGGACAAATGCGTCCATCGTACTCTTTATTTCACCTTAATTTGGCTGAAAAGTGGAAGTTAGTTGTTGTACTGGTAATTATGATTGGTATTAAACATCATTTTGAAGTTGTTGTTCTGTTCGCGTCAAGCATTCTCATCCAAAAGTCTGTTTTGCCTTTTATGCGAAAAGACAAAAATGTGACTTAGATCGTTCTTCCCCAGGACTCTTCACATTCTTTGATAAAAATGTTTGACTAATGTGAAATCTAACTTGGGTGTGGTGTAATTGTGCTGTTTTAATGGGAGTGTAATGGTTAGGATAAAACGGTCTGTTTAGATTAGATAATGAGTGTCAGGCTTAAATATTTTTACTTTCCCAAAGTAATTACATGTAACAAACAAAATAATTACCTTAAAATAAAGTTGTAAACCAGAATGCGTGTTGTATCATAAGGTCTGTCATTGAGTCAACTGGCGGGGTTTCGATTCCCTGGTTGTACGTGACAAGGAGTAGGGTAGCCTATTCAACCTAGTGGGTTACCTCCCACTGCTAAAGACCCCTATGTGCAAGCAAATTATTGAAATAAATGGCCGAGTTTGTGTCAAGTGGACTTATACCTCATCTCTCTCTCTCTCTCCCACTAATACAACAGAACTACACGATACCCGGAGGGATTTGTATTTTAATGCACGAACCCATGAGTGCTGAGAACAGGAACAAAAGCTACTCATTTTGATCTTGGGATCGACACCCTTCAAAAAAAAAAAAGCCTAATGCTCTGCCAATTCAAGTAGGATCGAAATGAAACTTGGTATGCCCATTCCTTGGACAATTGTGCATCGATTGATGAATTTCAAGTGTTGATATGACATGACAGTTTGAGATTATATAATCTTGTTATTTTATTATCATACTGTTAATGCTTTATTCAGGGATAGATATCATATATTAAGTCAATGGTTTATTATAAGTGTATATCAATAAATAAAATATATCATTAATTATTTTACCCAAAATATAACTCATTCACTAGTCTTTGTTTACGTCAACTTGCTGATACAATCGTATGTTAGTCTCGTAATGACACAGTTTGTCATGGATTCCTTTTGATACTTGCATGTTTCAGACCGTAACTTCCTGGGTTATATATTTGTTCTCTGTCCATCTCTTGCAAATTATTGGCGTAATTTTGCATGGCACCGTTTTTAATCCTGGAAGTCTGTCATCCATAGAAAAAGTTTTAGACCTGCTGTGTTCGTCATTACTTGGAACCATATCAAAGCATGTACTGGTACTTTTTTATTTTTTATTCCCCGCCTATCAAAATTTAAAAGAAGCAGAGGACTATTAAATTGTGTTTATATGTCTGCCACGCTTGTTACAACTTTTGGGACACAAAAATTCTGCTTCTAATTGAGCTGAAGTGTTTTAAAGGACAATATTGGTGTCAGTCATTACGCATGTGATAGAACTAGTTAATTTTAACAAAGAGATTGCTATGATAGATGCGTATTGAAGATTTCAAGAAAGGGAAGTGATGGAGAAAAAAAAAAGAAGTCCATGCATTACCATGTTTTTAAGTATAGAATGAATAAAAACAAGGAAATGTACGGACTATTTCCATTTTTCTCGTTCCCCCTTATCTAGTGACTTTGGTCTTCGAAGGAATTATTAGTGAGCAGAAATTCGCCTGTGTATCTGTTATCACTTGTGACTTCAGTCAGTTATATAGAAGGATAATTTGTGTTTTGCGTTTGTTTATCATTTCCCTTTCTTGAAATCTTCATAAGGCATCTATCATAGCGATGATCTGTGTGTTAAAATTATATTTGGAACATGTTTAACCAGTTCTATCACATATGTGATAATGACTGACACCAATATTGTCCTTTAAACTGGGTGTAGATGCTAGTTAGGTAAATAACTTGATAGGATAGTGTGATTTATTGAAACGGCTTCACTGTTATATTGGTTTGTTTCTAAATGAATAAATTTATCTTATAGAGTTCATGTCTTGTCTTGATATATTTTATTAATTCAAGTCGAGATTATCTTGGAGGGGGGGTGGGTGACTCGTTGATCTAACACATGTTTTTCACATGGGGTCATAGGGGGTGGTGGTCAAGGAGTGGTGTCCACCTGCCTGGCTTTATGGGTTTTCTTCGGTTCTCCAGTTCCAACTCACTGCTAAAGAACTCAACACAAAAGCAAATTATTAAAATATAATTGTACAATGTTAGACCTGAAATTGTTTAGTTTGTGTGGAGTGGATGTCTAACCCCATTTCTCTCTCAAAATGTCTTGCTGCTATAAACGTGGTTTGAAGTATTTCCCAATTTTATTGATGACTTTTAAACCCCCATTCCATTCCATTTCTGTACGAGAGCCATTGTGGCTCAGTGACTTGGGAACTGACTCAATAACCAGGTCTGGGGTTCAATCCCATTGGTGGCTGAGAAAACTCCCTAGGCCTGGCAAGGAACAATGACTAGGTCATTTACACTTGGGCTTGCACGTAACGGAATCCTTCACAGTTGGAACTCAATGGCTGCACGGGCAAAACTTGTGCTATAGCAAACTGCCTGCCCATTTTCATTAGTAGGTACAGATAAATTAAGCATTAAATCCATTTCATTCATTTACATTTAATTCAGTGGGCGGGGGGATGTCCGAATGGTTAGTGCTTGGGTGCTGTATCATAGGGTCTGTCATCAAGTCAACCGGCATGGTTTCGATTCCCCGGTTGTACATGACAAGGAGTAGGGTTGCCTGGCCAACTTCATGGATTTTCTCTGGGTCCACAGGTTTCCTCCCACTGCTAAAGACCCCTATGCGCAAGCGAATTATTGAAATAAAATTGACCCATGTGTTAGTAGTCAAATGACACGACCTACTTTGTGTCAGTGGAGGTTAAACTCTCTCTCTCTCTCTTGTATCTAGGCAAGAGATTTCTTCAAATTATAATAAATAACAAACACCATAATAAAATTTTACTTCATTTTATTTACACATGCATGACTTACAACTGCACAATATTGAAAGCGAGATTCTGAAATTGACAGAAAATTTGCTGTTTATTTCATGTAAAAACCGTAGACACGGTTAATCCAAGTTTTTATAAAACTACAGAATTATTTACATTTAACTTAATTAAATATCATCCACAAAAATAGATATCTTTTTACGTCAAATAACCTACTGTTAAAATGAGCCTACTTTTAGTCACATATTTCGAATGACATAGCCAGAATTCAACAATGGGGTGAGCACTGTCTGTCATTCAAGATTTTAGTGACTCTGGTTTGTTTTGTACATATTCTGTATAAATATCTTGTTTGTAAAGAAAGTCAAGGTTGTCAAATTGTTTATTTATCATATCTTTGTATCCAATGAAAGGGAATTTTGGCTTGATATTTTTTTTAGTGTTTCAAATTTCGCAATAGTGTAGTTTTCGAGAGTTTGACAGTTCCTCCATACTTTATAGACGTTTCTGTAAAATATTTAATTAATTTACATCATAAGCAAATGAGTTGATAAAATTCTGTTAAAATCCAATATTAACACAATGCTGTACATTTATTTAACAAAATATTTAAAACACCGGCTTTATTTACGAAAACTTACAATAAAAGCAAAACGAGAAAGCCGTTTTTCCATTAACAAAGAGTTCAAAGATTTTAAAACTGAACCAATAAAAAACGTGAATCCTCTTTATTACTTTCGTTTGAAGTTTTCATAAAATAACGCTGTGGTGAAAGTACATGATAAAATACATCTTCACTATATCTAGGTTTGACGACGATTACAAGACGCACATCGGCCGTTCTGACTCAGTGAAGATACAAAATATAACCCATCCTTTCTTGATTAATAAAGATGCCTTTGCAGTAAAAAATGACAAATTATCATCAACCACCTAGTTCCAAGCCAATTAATATCAATCAATCAATTAAATAATTAATTAGGCAGTTTTTAACGACAAATATAAATAAATCTATGTGTGTACATATAATCCGAGCAGATTGAAAGCACTTTTTATAGAAAACAACAACCATAACCTATTTGTACACAAACGGGGCCCTTATTCACGAAAACTTAAACTAAGGTACAATCGAAATTTTAAGAAATACTGCAAAAACGATTGGCTGACCAGTAAAAATCAATTTGCATATATCCAATGAAGTTGCAGTATTTCTTAAAATTTTGGTTGTAACTTAGTTTAAGTTTTCGTGAATAAGGGCCCAGAAATAGAAGAAAGGGAAAAAAAATATCCATATATCTACAATTTCTCTAAAAAAAAAAAAAAAAAAAACAACCAAAAAAATATGGGTTGATTAATTTACAATTTTTGATTCCAGTAGTAATTTACAAGTGACTATCAAATTTATTTACACAAATTCACGATTCTTCATATCTCACATTAAAAACCATGACGTTAAACTATGGGAGACACGCAACAAACATTTTAATGATGTACCACGCAATGAAAATTGTGAGTGCCGAGGTTTCCTAAAAAGAGGAAAACTGTTTAAGGAAAATACAGACTAAAAAAACATGTATATCTTTAAAACTAATTGTCAGTACCGTAGCGAGAATTATGCTAAGAAGGGGGTTATTGGAACAATCGCATTTAGCCCCACCGACCAATGTCTAAGTGCAGATGGATTTTGGGTATATTATCAAACGAATAAATCAAATTATTATTTTGGAGACAGCATCGATCTCAGTTTTCTCTGCGAGAATGAGGTGAGGTGGTTTCTCAATAAAAACAGTTACGTTTTGTAATATTCTTGGCGGGCCGAATCAAAAGGGGGAGATCTTTCCACTAATTGAATCCCTCGCCGAATGAAGAACAACTCGTTCCCCTAATTGAATCCCTCATTTCCAGAATTTTATGTTGTTAGTGGGAGGTTGAATGCTGATATACCAGACCCAACTCAGCATCATTCTCTGGCTACGGTACTGTCGTTAATTATCTATCAATTATCTATCGAACAAGAATATGCTAAAAGATGAAAATGTTCAGATTTTATGAATAGGGATATGTTATTTAATCTAAATATTTAGAAAATAGAAAGACGAATTCTCCGTAGATTTCATGCTGAATGAAAAGGCTGAATTTTTTTTATCAAAGGCACACGTACACTCTTTCAAAAATATTTCCCGTTCTTCGTTAAAATTTTTGATGAAGGATGATAATTTGATGTTATATATAAAATATTTGGTTATATTTTTGTAAAACGATGCGAAGGTCACAACGTTGACCTCTGACCTATAAAATATGCATAGTGATTAATTATCCATACAATTATTATTGGAACTAGATTCGTTATATAACTCGTATGAGAGATAAACCTTCTACTGAGACAGGGGATTCAAGGGAGGTAACTAGGTCTTGTTTAACGAAGTGTACACGCAAGATAGTGGATCAAGGGGAGGTAAAAACGCAAACATTTGGATCTTATTTCACGAAGTGTACACACAAGCCAGTGAATTAAAGAGAGATAATAAAGTAATATCTGGGTCTTGTTTCACGAAGTGTACATGCAAGCCAGTGAATTAAAGGGATGCAAACAAACACACGAGTCGTACGATTCTGAAACGAGGTCCAGATCTGAATAAAAAGTGTAATGCTAAGATAGTTTCGTGGAAGACTATTACTAAAATCGGATTAATTCTTAAAATAATTACTCTCTCTATTAATTAATGCTGTCATATTGTTTAATAATTTGTGATCCATGACAGGAAAATGAGTCGGAAGTCACTGGATATGAACAAAATGGCTAAATAGGCTTTTAAGAAATATTAGTGTATTTTATTTGTCAAATATAAAGTTTTGGCCTATTATAATATCATTGTTTACACTGTTAAAAGATTTGCGAGTTCCGACACATTTTGCCACAACAGGTCACATTTAACATAGAAATTTTAAATACTCAACATGTTCATTTTATAATTCATAGTACAAACGAAGATGTAGAAATTTTACATATTTTTACAGTTATCTCTGTGCTTTTTCCCCGAAACTAATTTTGTTTTCTAAACTTTTAATCATTTCTTGTAAGCGCTCAAATTGAAACATAATACAGTATCAATAATTTTCTGTTCTTTCTTGTTTCGAAAGTTTTCAAATGCGTTAGCCTACATTCTATGATAATACTTCAGATATGGCAACAAATTACTAGCCATGTATAGAATATTCTTAGGGTTAACTTTAATTCTCTGTTATTCAACAAATCACAAACCAGAAATAATGTTTGCACCAAAAGTATTTTTGACACGGCCATGTATTTTTCGCTTGTTTCAGAAGTTTTATTTTTTATAGAAGATCGACTAATACATACGATAACTTAAATATTTCAAAATATGCGAGGAATTTCTGGTTTCAACCAATCACAAACATGCGAGGAATTCCTGTTAACAGCACCAGTTTAGTCTAGTTCGCTACCTGAGGTTGATTGATATTCACAACGCTATAAAAGATTTCATAAAAATGGAGCCTCGTAAATTTTCAGGCAAGAATTGTTAAAGTACGTGGAGGGAGACTCGCAACTTATCATAAAACACGATGAAAATGTATTAAGTAGAAAGAAAGAATTCCGAAAGGCAGATGGCGAGTAGAAAGACGGTTTCGGAACCCCTCTGGATCGTCTATACCACTCAATATTTAAATTAATCCTTGACCGTTAAATTTTTTTTTTGATCTTGGATTCGTATTTCTCGATTTTAACCCTGGTCAACCAAACCAAATATGAGCAATGTTTTCTGGGTGTCATGACGATATTGTTTGTGTTTGCTATCATTGCAGACAGATCTATTTTGTTCCAACAAAAACAAATACAAGCAATGTTTTATGGACGTCATGACGATATTGTTTGTGTCTTCTATCATTTCAGATCTATTTTGGTCCAATGTAACGTTTATGTTTTATTAAGCTTTTTATTTACGATGATGCCAGGTATGATTGCCATTTCATAACCACTTTTTATTACCATCAACGAGACTAAAATCATTTAGTGATAAAGTTTTAAGTGTATAAAGTCAGTGATTGTGGAATGACTGACCATTTCATGTTTTCTTATGTGGTGAGACAAATCATATCGATACTCAATACTCAATACTGCTAAATTCGGCCATTAAACTTGATATTTTGACGGCTGGATTAGGACTGTTTGAATTTTATCTTACGCACGAAAAAGTAAAGCTCAAAATTTACAAAAAAAACAAAAATAATTTTAGTTGGAGTGGTATATTACACTGTAACACAGGTATCATTTAATCTTGTGTATTTAGCACTAATTTCTTTCACATTCGTTTATGTTTAAAAATTTGTGAATTAAATACTTGTAAATTGGACACCCATTATCAAAATTAATCAGTCAGCTTTAAACTAGACACATGTACAAATTAGACGATTTTGGTGCCTATAAATACTTTTTACGGGTTTTTAAACAAAGATTTGGTATTAAAGGAATGTGAAAGAAATTAGTGCTAGATACACAAGATTAAATGATACTTGGGTTACAGTGTTATAAGTGCTGAGAGAATAGTGTATCATATATCAAATTAATGTTATGTTTAATATTAAAACATGGTAAATTCAACAAACTGAAGAATATTTACAATTTTATAGCAATAATCAATCATCTGCATAAAGTTTAATAAATAATAATTACTGGACAAATATTGTTATTTATACAAAACACCCCTTTAATATAACATGAACTTGCCATTAACAGTGATTAACATCCAATTTAGGGGCGAGCCTATTCTGTGAAAGAGGGGTGTTTGGAGATAATCATTATGTAGGGTTTTGTACCAGTTTAAACTCTAGCCGTAATTGATACCCAAGAACACTGGAGTCAGTTTCTAAGACTTTACTATTATACCACCACTTCTCATTTGCAGTGTCGGATTAAGATACATGGCGGCTCTGGTGCACTTGAGTAAATTGCCGCCCCTTGCACGCCTCACACCCTCCCAAAAATAAGATGTAAAAAGTTTTCTTTTTATTCATACATTCATATTACGGATGTAATTGTTGAATGTCTTTTCCGTATTTTAACTAAGGGGCCCCTAACCGTACCATGATAAATACGTCAAGGCTTATTTGAGCTGTCCAACATTTTCAACGGCTTTTATATATACAGAGAGGGAAATGGGGTTTAACGTCCACTCGACACAAACTAGGTCATATCAGGACTAATAAAGTTTAATTTTATTTCAATAATTCGCTTGCGTGCAGGGGAGGAAACCAGGAGACGGAGAAACCCATGAGGTTGGAGGTTTTATATAATAATTATTACTTATATTTTGTGTATAACAATATTATATATATTATCAATATGTTTATATATATCTCTTATTAACATAATAACCATATTGCTAGTAATAATACAATCTCATTAAAATACACATCTATATTCCGTTTCATTTTTTTATACTTTCGATGACCTACACTACATGAAGATATGACAAGTTGTACTCGAAGGTTGCATCAGGGGTCATACGAGCGGCCTTTGACCCTATGACATCAGACATTGATGTTTCTAGTGGGTTACCCACAGTGCCGTGCACCTCACACCAAAAAACTCCCCGTAACAGACTATTTCATTGGCTAATTCCTCATATCATCCAGAATGCGGGATATATAACAACTATTTCAGATCCTAGTGTAGTAAAGACATGTAAAACGAAATTTGGAACTATAAAAAACAAAACGAAATATGATCTGTGTTTTAACCAGATTGTAAATAATAATAGTAGTTTTTGAATATTAATTTTCTTTGGTTAAAAATATGATATAATTAAAATTAATTAATATAAGCACAGAATATTTTTAGAATCCGCCCAAAAAAAAAAAAAAAAAAAATGATAAAAAACCACTTTAATTCATTTCAAAAGTTTTTATTTCTTCAAACTGAATGAAAATTTTGAGTTAATTTATTGTTCGAAAATTGAATTCATCAAAATTAAATTTTAATTCCAAAAATTTATTTTCAAATAAACTAATGAAAAGATTCAACATTGTACTTCAATAATAACATGGATATATTTATGTTTCTGGCAAGGGATTGGAGAGGGGGGAGGGGGGAGATTTACTTATATAATACATAAATTATACATACAAATTAATATCTATGTAAAAATTATCACCAATGTATAAAAATATCTTTTATATTAGTCGTACCCTATAGAAATATACGAAGAATTTAGCAAAACAATATTTCATAATGATTAATGACTACATTCTTCTAAGCTAATATTTCACTGAAAACATAACCTCTAAATTAAACCCTCTTGGTGAAAATACCATTCTTCATTCGTGCAAGTCTTGTAGAACCAGACATTTCTCAGACTTGGATCCCGAGACATTTCTTAGTCAGCAAGTCTTGGACAACCAGACATTTCTTATTCAGGGTTACTTACATTACTGTAGACTCAGTATTTCCACGGAACCAAGAGGGTTTTTAGAACGTTATTTTGTACTACACTATAAACTCTATAACAGGGTTCAAGAGGTCAGATACAAGTTACCTCCCCTTCTTAAACACCTGACAGGTTTCAACCAATCATATTACACGTTTTACTTATCATCCCATTATACCGTTTCTCCCCGGTGAACATTTTTATGGTTATTTTTAGAATAAATAGATCAGGCCAAGGCTCCAGTTAAAAAAAAAAATTTAAGAATGTCTAAAAATTGATAAATTGTATGTAAATAATCGCTTTTAGACATAGAAAATATGGAGGTGAAGGCTCCAGGTAGTTGAAAAATCTGTTAACAGGACAGGTAAAAATGGATAAATTGTATGAAAATAACTAATCTGGAGATAGAAATGTAGAGGAATATAAATTATTTTTAATACAAATTTATCAAAGTCGTGATATTTCAGATTTAAAGAAGAAACTACACAAGTTATTATGTGAATAAAAGTATATAAATATTTAAATATTACTGTTGGTTAATAATAAAGGATTTTTGATTGGCTAATAACTAAACCTATTAACACACCAGCATTTTGGTAACAGATTCAGTATTAACCAATGTAACCAATCCAGTATTCATCAGTTTCAGCGCTGTGGTAGAGAATGGACCAATGGGAGTACCGGAGTGATTGTAACCATATTTATATTCAAATGTTTTTATAAACTGTATTTAATACAGTAAGACGTCACTGTAACATCGATGTTCGAATCTGCGTTATAGTTAGACAAGGGCCTCCACTATAAAACTGATGTTTAGATCTGTGATACAGTGAGATAACGGTCTCTACTATAACATCGATGTTCGGATCGGCGTTATAGTTAGACAATCGCCTCCACTATAAAACGGATGTTTAGATCTGTAAGATAACAGGCTTCACTATAACACCGATGTTCAGATCTGCGTTATAGTAAGATAAAGGCGTCCACTATAAAACTGATGCGACACAAATGGCCTCACTTTAACAAAATTGAAACCGTTGCCAACATAATGCTACAGTAAAATCCCAATGTAATAATACGAATAAATTACAAGTTGTTAAGAATAAACAAACTGAGTAAAGCCGGTTTTCCATGTACGCGTTTTTGCCAGTCACATGGAAACAGTCCCATTACATGTACATTAGACCGACTATTTCGCTGGCAAAAACGTGTACATGGTACCAGGCCTGACTGATAAGCCTGTTTTCCATGTACGCGTTTTCACCAGTTACATGGAAACGATCCCATTACATTTACATTAGACCGACTATTTCACCAACGAAAACGTGTACATGGTACCAGGCCTAACTGATAAACCATATTAATTAAAGAAGGAAGTTCGAATCCCCTGATAATATTTAATGATTTAAGTATTTTAAATAACCTTGCTGTTCGGTATGATAACCTGAATATTTACTGTATAAATATTAAAAACATTTACTACAAATCTTATTCACCTATTCACAAAACATAAAAACATTTCAACCATAGAATTTTAGCATCTTAACTTTCTAAAAGAGAGAAAGAATTTCATCACCTCTGCGATCACAAGAGTTTTATGTTTGTGGCGATCACAAGAGTTTTATGGTTGTGGCGATCACAAGAGTTTTATGGTTGTGGCGATCACAAGAGTTTTATGTTTGTGGCGATCACAAGAGTTTTATGTTTGTGGCGATCACAAGAGTTTTATGTTTGTGGCAATCACAAGAGTTTTATGTTTGTGAAGATCACAAGAGTTTTATGTTTGTGGCGATCACAAGAGTTTTATGTTTGTGGCGATCACAAGAGTTTTATGTTTGTGGCGATCACAAGAGTTTTATGGTTGTGGCGATCACAAGAGTTTTATGTTTGTGAACATGGTCATTAAGATTTGAAAGTAAATGTTTTTTTACGAAAGACGTGACGAAATTTGGGCAAGGAGAATAAGAATAGGGATGACAAGAATTGCACATTTATTAAACATAAATTGTTTAATTGGATGATGATGTTAATAAATGCTGTTAAAGTTACACATATGTATATATAATCAACATATAAATTAAAATATGACTTTTGTTTACGATATTAATATAATTATCATTATAATGACTCTGAGCATAAAATGCAACGATGATATAATTAACGATATTCGGAAACAATATCTTTAAGATATTACATCATTAAAAGATATTCCGTTCGTTTGATTGGTTGATCAATTGATGACGGACAGAAAGTAAGCGTAACAGACTAATTATCGTTAATTATAATGTAACCATAGAAACGATTCCCACTGTTGATAGTACATCTTAAATGTCGTCTGCTCAGAATCTGAACCTCATTCACTTAGTTCTTGATTCATCTGGCTATCGTACGATCGATTGGATGAATGAAATGTTATAAATAGCGTAAGCCGTTATCCGTTACCTTATATAGTTTTATTCACCAAGCATTTTACGACTGCTTGCGTGCAAATGACGAATCCTTATAAAGATTAATCACCAAGGATTTTACGACGGTTTGCGTGCAATTAACGAATCCTTAAAAGACGTAGCAAGCTAGTAGAATAATATCACGAGTATTGTGTTTATATAAATATTTTATAGTTTTTATCATTGTTTGGTTCCACTTTCCGTTAAATAAATTTCCACTCCTTTCTGTTCATTTTGTTGTTGTTTCATTGCTGCGCGTTTTTCGGCTAAAAGTTTTTTACGCGCTTCGTCCCGAGCTTTTGCTGCCTGTTTTGCTTTTTGGCTTCTTTCGGGAGAAGATTCGGGGGTTTCTTTGGGTTTGAGAGTTTTTCTCTTGGTACCTGGAAATAGAAACAGAAAATATCAATAAATGTAAGACATTTATCGTTGGTGAAGTGTCAAAAGGGTATATCTCAGGAAATTAGTCAAATACACATTTTTGCATTTTTAAACTCTCCCAATTAATATGCACATTTCTGTCTAAGCTGTGCATCTCTACGCCAATTAGAACTGTTCTAGGTTTCAGGTGTCCAAATGTTGTATCTTGATTTGTGGAAATTTTGAAATGCAAAAAGTTGTATTTCTTAATCTTTAGAAATTCTTAGATACTCCCTTTTGACACTTCATCGATGTTACGTTCAAAATTTAACAATGATCTCCAGTCTAATATAATATGGGCAGGTGATCTTTAAAAAAAAACATTTTTCAAATTTCCATGATCTTCAGTGCAATATAATATGGCTAAAATGGGTTGAAATGAAATGAGGTATAAGGTTCATATTTATACATTCTTAAATGGTGGTTTCTACTATTTTGTATATTGAACAGAGCCACCTGAAGACATTTTGTGAAATTGTACGTTGTATAATAATTTTATTAATAGAAGAATTTTACCTGGAGTGTGACCAGGTGTACTATTTTGAGACAAACTTCCAGATTTTGGACTAGAACTAGCAGAACTACGACGAGAAAGCTGAAAAAAAAAACCCAGAAAAAAACATGTAATTAAAATTCTACAAAATTGGAAATCAAGCGAGAATACAGGCCTTTTTAAAAGTTATTCCCATGGTTTCAAGACCTTTCCATTTTAGTTATCTCCCTTGGATTGGTTACCAATACAGGTGAAGTGTTTGAATCTGATCTTCTCACAAAAAGAATTACATCTGGACACCAGTTTTAAGGTATTGGCCAATATAATGGAGGATAACATACCTTCTGTTCCTCATTTTCAAGTACAAATTTTTACATGGGACCTCATGTAAATGGGGTTTAACATGCACTCGACACAAACTAGATCATGTCGGGACTAACATTGGGTTTCATTGTATTTCAATAATTGAGAGAAAACCCACAAGGTCAAATAGGCGACCCACTCCTTGTCACATACAACCAGAGAATCGAAATGAAATGAAATGGGGTTTAACGTCCTATTGTTCTGCTCCTAAACTGGGCTAATGAAGACGAGCATATGATATACAGTGTGCTATGAGGGAAATTTTGCCCGGGCAGCGGCACTATCGCCTACTCTTATATCGAATTTCAACTGCCAGGGGATCTTTTACATGCATTCCAATATATACACGGGACCTCGGTTTTTCGTCTCATCCGAAGGACTAGACAGCTGTCCTTGTCAGGCCCTCCGTCCTGCAGAGAATCGAAAACAACACCAGTTAAAGCAATTAGACTAATACTGACAAGAAATTGTTTTTCTTTTTATTATGTTTTGCTTTTTAAATTGATCTATTAATGATTTCAGTAATATAATACAAGCAAAGGGCTACGTGGATTATACAGGTATTCTTATACGACTATAAACTAGTATTAATATAATTTACCTGTAAAGGTATTTCCTTCCATCCATTATTTCTCATTAGTTCTATTTCTGTAAACATATCGTCTACATGATCTATCTGTATCTTGACCATATCCCAGAAACCTTGTAAATCCTCCCAGTTGGTTGGTTTAGCTTCAGGATCAGGGTACTGTCAAAATAATTATATTTAAAAAGGTACCGTTGTTAGGGAAGTTAGTATTAATACCTGTTGTACAAGGGAAGTTAGTATTAATACCTGTATGTAGGCTCAAAATACTAACATCATTGTCACATGTACAGTTCATTAACAAAGCGAAGGGCAGAGATATCACCAGCAATACACGATCTCAGAATTTATTCATATATTGGGACAATATCAAATTCTTTGAAAAAGATATCTGGGCTGATCTGTGATAAATAAAACTGAGTGTCTGACAAAATAGCTTGAAGCCGATGTGGGATCATTACGGCCCCTGGGATACCCTACTGGCGACCTCTGCCATGTGTCAATCAACTAGTTAATATTAGTAACAAACCTGATGATCTTTACATAATTCACGGAACTGTTGAAATCGTTTATTTATCAGAAGGTGGGCTTTACCAATGGCGGCTCGTATTCTACCTGATGCTATAAATACAAAATAAATTTATACTACGTGGAAAATACATAAAATATTAAAAAAGACATTGCCAGGTAATGGGACATATGAATAAAAAATCCAGATTTTTCCACAACCTTAACTACCCTAGTCCCTGTATACAAGAGATGAAATGGGGTTTAACGTCCTACTGTTCTGCTACGACTAGGCTAATGAAGACAGGCATACGACATACAGTGTGCTATGAGGGAAATTTTGCCTGGACAGCATTGATATGGCCTACTCTAATGATGAATTCCAACTGTCAAGGGTTCTTTTATGTGCACAGCAATCTGTACACGGGACCTCGTTTTTTGGGGGGCTATCCGAATGACTATATGTTGTCCCTTGCTAGGCTCTCCATCCTACGTCACTGATATGAGGGAACCATGCCCAAAAATCCAGATGAACTTTCTTGGTCAGAACAGGGGTCAAACACGGTACCTGCAGCTTAGCGAGCTAACATCTTACTCACTGAGCCACCACAGCCCCCGTTACGTATAATAATAGATGATGATCGTACCTTCTTCGGGTATAGATTGTGTTGATGTGTTTATTTCAGATTGTGAACATAATACTAATAATCTATCTTCTTCTGACTGAGTTAAATATAGAAAATAATCGCCATCCTACAAAATATCAATAATAGAATATATACTAATCATCCTACAAAATATCAATAATATATACTTGTCTCAAATAATCACATAAATCAGTTTCAATGCCCTTCTTTACTGCTCCATCTGGACTAATGAGAGAGAGAGAGAGAGATGGTGTTTAACGTTCACTTGACACAGACTAGGTCATTTTGGGACTAACACGTGGTTAATTTTTATTTCAATAATTCACTTGCACGTAGGGGTCTTTTGCAGTGGGAGGAAACCGGAGGAGCCAGAGAAAACCTACGAGGTTGGACAGGCAACCCTACTCCTTGTCACGTACAACCGGGGATTCGAAACCCCCAACCCCCAATGGGCTAATGAAGATAGCTAATGGAGGGAAATTTTGCACAGACAGTGGCTTGTATACGATATCACCCTTGTTGGAAGTGGACGTAAAACTCCAGGAATGAACAACGAACGGACAACGGCATTACAGCCTACTCTAATTTTGAATTACAACTGTCAAGTGCATGGCAATTTATACGGGGGATTTAATTTTCTCGTCCCATCCAAACGACTTGTTTATATTCGGAATATCACCAGGAACTCTCACGGTTATACTTTTTGCTGACAACCATGGGCTTATGCCGAACAGTGCACTATGAGAGAAATTTGGTCTGGACAGCGACGTTGTCGACTACATGTACTCTTCACCGAATTCCAAATCTCCTGGGGTTTTTACGTGCAAGCCAACGAGCATGTAGATGAACCCCAGTTTTTCAACCCATCGTCTGGAGTAGTACATAGAACTCTAAATATACCAGTTAAAGTATGAGCCAATAGAGACTAACGCAATTTCTGTGCTGAATTTAAATTGCCTAAAGAATACGCAATACATGGAGATGAGTGAGCCGGAAACATGCCTAGAATTTGGGGGTGGTGGGGGGGGGTGGAATGTTTGCTTGAAGTATATGAAAATCAAAAGATGTTAATGTCAGGTATTAAACATTTAGGACATGTTTTTTATATTGTCCACATGTCATTCAAATCTAACCAGAAATTATACAAGTTATTGTCGTTAAATCTATATCTACTCTAGTCAGATATATTTACTTGTCACAGTTATAACGTTCAGATCCAAATTCATCGAGAAATTATCAGAAACGGGACACTGACTTAAATAATACTACTAATAGAGAAGGATAAAAACCCTGTTACATTAAAATATATGCACTTTTAGATCAAATATTAATTTTTTTTTTTCTTGTTCCCCGGTCAACAAGTACACATTACGAAACCTTTATCCAATCAAATTGCACATATCATTTTAATAACGTCGCCAAATTTCAAAGCCCTATCATTCTATTCACAATTCTATTTAAAAACATATCCACGGAAATTTACGTATACAAATAATAACTCCATTTCACTCAGATATAAACAAACCTTTTCCTTATCACCAGTAGGATACAAATGTCCATTCAAATACGCTCCTCCGTTTAAATCATGACCACAATTTAACGATGTAGGCCCGTGTAATCCTTGGCCAACGGCAGCACGTAAACAGTCTTCACTTGTTCGTATATCTCTTACAGATGGCATTGCGTTTTCTGGTGAGTTTGAATTCGATATCACGGAACTGTTACTAGAGTAAGGTGAGCGTTTCTCTATGTCTTTATACGAAGTGTATTGGCTATAACTACCATAGCCACTCACAGCACAACTAATTTTTAAATACGATGGTTTACGCGAAGGATCCAAGGGAGATAAGTCTGAATCGCTATTGTATGACGGAGATTGTCTATGCGGGATAGCATTTTCTTTGTTACTCTCCAACAAAACACTGTGAAAATGAGGTTTTTCACGAGTCTTTTTCGTCAAGCTGACATCGTGACGACTGTCCGTAGATTTCACCAAGTCTTGACTAAGTGCGACTTGTTTCGATGTTCCTGATTGGCTGGCTCCACTTAGCACTGACGGTTCACTCACTGAAAAGATAAAATTGAGTAAAATTAATATACCGATTTTCATTTTTATCTAAAAACAACAGCCACCCCAAAAATATTGCATCAATTGTAGGTATGTATGGGGACAAATTGTCCTAGCACTGTATAAGCTACCCATGCCTAGAACTAGAGCATAAATTGAGTCTCTATCAGACGCAATCCTTCTGTCATCTGTCAATCTATATGTCACAATTTTTTTAAAACAATATATAAAATACAGTTCTGACACAAAGTTAAAATTTGACAGATCTAAAAATTCTATGCCAAAAATCATACTTTATATCTGGGTCTAAAATATGAGCACTATGTTTAATTATTAGTTTACAACTGACTTAAAACAAACCAGTGGAAATATAGGAGTAATAAATCAGTGACAGGGAGAGAAGAGGTAGTATTTTATCTTCTGATGATTGTGTACAGATATAGTATATCATCATGTAGGAGATATAGTATAACTTATATATCATAATATAACCCGAGACCGGACACACCAAGTTTATATCCCTCTCTGACTACCGGTATATATCTATATATTGACCAAATATTGTAATATAAGCTGAGACAGGACACAGCAAATTTATCACCAATCATCACTAACTTAACATTAAAATAAAACTTCTTGACACTAGGAGCCTAATTAAAAAAAACTTAAAACATTTTAAGGATGTAGGTCAATTTATCAGTGGAGAGTTAAAATCCAACAATAAATTTTAGTCTGCAGGGCCAACAAAAGTTTTGGGATTAAATTTTGTCAGACCATTAGTTTAGTATTAACACATACATGTAACATCTAGAGACCAGACTCTACATTTCTCTCTAATATTGACTCATGAAAACAAGGGCTTCATTTCAATGTTCTATTTTCTACTGGGCTTGAGTGACAAAATCAATGAATTCTGTGTTATAATAATCAAAATGTGCTACTTCTAATCGTGTTCTACAATATCAAAACTAGAGCGTCCATAAGATATTTTAAAGTGATCAAGGGCCATAACTCTGACAGTAATTATAGGAAATAAATAGGATTCTTCATCTCATGACCTTGAACACTGTGTATAAATTTTAGAATGGCAAAAGCAATTATGGACAACGGACAGACAGGGGTGACAACAATATACAACCACATTTCAATGTGAAGGTATGAAAATAGAGATCTGAAGATCTCATGAATGACATTAAGGAAGTATTCATATGTTACCATAAACTTATGTAAAAATATTTCATTTTTAAATATAGAAATATTGTGATTACGAGTCATGCGGTTTGTCATTTAAAATGGCAGCTTCCACGTGTCCATCAATAAAACCAATCATATATACTGAGTCAGGTATTCTATCAGGTAAAGATGATGTTTATAGATATGATTACCGTTAAAATGACTCATTGATTCACACAAATCCATTGTTTCAATGGCATGTACTTAATTGAACTTAAAATACATATTTGATGTCATCCTGTGATTGTTCGTCTACCATTATTTAACACAATTTACAGGAAAAATACAATTGAAATCATACATTATACTAAATGAAATATTGGACCAGTGTGAGGATTTCATTAAAATGCGCAATGAGTAGGACATTGGCTAGTATATTGAAACAACATTCAGGCTAACGTCCTTGTGTGGTATCTATTTAATAAACCACAGAAAATACACCTGATGCTATTTTATTACTATGCGATGTTTTAAATAGCATTCTCTAATCTTTATCAAACAATTATAGTACGGTAAATGAAATGAAACGAAACAGAGTTTAATGTCCTATTGTTCTGCTCCTATACTGGGCTAATGAAGACGGGCATACGCCATACAGTGTGCTATGAGGGAAATTTTGCCCGGACAGCGGCACTACGGCCTACTCTTATATCGAATTCAAACTGTCAAGGGATCTTTTACGTGCACGCTAATGTGTACACGGGACCTCGGTTTTTCGTCCCATCCGAAAGACTAGACAGCTGTCCTTGTCAGGCCTTCCGTCCTGCATCACTGACAAGGGGAAAACCATGCCGGAAAATCTGGATGAACTTTCTCGGCCAATGAAGGGATCAAACACCCGACCTCCAAGCTAGCGAGCCAGCGTCTTACCCACCGTGATCCCCCTGCGGTAAAAGACATTAATATTAAACCAAGGATTTTTATTCTGTTAATAAAACCTATTTGATATTGTTTTAACAACTTATTTTAAACTGTTTCAATCACATTTAGTAATTAAACTGACATGACAAGCCTAGTAGAAATGTCACTTACATGTAGTTTTAAACAGTGATTGTATTCTATAGAATTGTGTCGTGTACATCTTAAAATCTAGTAAAACTGTCAACTATGTGAATTCCCCATATCAACAAGACATGTTCTGAGATATTCCAGAAAGAATAACAACACAGTGATCATAAAACCCCCCAAAAAACAGGATTACTTCCAAACATTGGGTCATAGTCTATATTTGTCTTTTCTTCTGAACGTCACATATTTCTTAAATATTTCACATACCAATTAAATTTTTCTAAAACTTTGAAAACAAGTTATTTATCTACCTTAAAAGTGGCATCGGTTGTTCTAGAAATAAAGATATAACTTACTGTTCAAATCTAAGATATGCATATTAACTAATGGTTGAAATGAGTAGGTACACAATACTGATAACATCCTGGTATGTATATAAGAGGATAGAATTCAAAATATTTCACACTTATACTATAACCTCTAGATCATCAAAAGGTCATAGAGTCTGGTTAATCTATCTCAAATTAAATCTAAATTCTTCAATTCACTTCAAATATTCCACATTTGTTCCTTATTAAACTTCTAACATGGCTTCATATAAACAAATCCACTCTCTCAATATATAAGTAGCTGTATGAGATGTGTTGGGTTCGATGAGTAAGCCGTGACTGTCCTTCCACCCACAACTCACTGAAATCTTATATAGAGTAATAATACACTGTATATACATAAACACAAGGTAGGGCTGTCTCTTCAAATCAATATATTATAACAATGGTATCGGACAGGCTATGATTCATTATGGTATTTGGTAACAACAGTTTTAATAGTAAAGATTACAACTCAGGGATTTAAATTAATCATATAACACGACACCAGAGAGTTGAACAGAAAAGGTTTTTTTAGGGTCTTGGATTAGAAATCAGTGATTGGTGATTAGAGCTTGAAGGGATTAGTGGATTAGAGTAAGCCATACCTGTGTTAATGTTTGAGTATACCTTTTTTGGATGGATTTAACAAATTTAATGTGTACTTTATCATTGTATACAGCAAGTTTTAAACGTGGGTTATAGATAAGGTTTAAATCTTGAGGTCTTGTACAGAAATTTTGTAACTAGATATAGGTAGAATTCTGTGTGTTTTTATATAAGTGAATTAAAGGTATGAAAGGTGTAAATGCAGAGAACCTGTACAGAAAGGGGTTTTTAATGATAAGGATTATAAGTGGTTAGTGATATATATAACTGAACCAGAGATTAAAGGTTTTCTAGGGGTTAAATTAGAAATCAGTCAAGGATGTAAATTGATGACATAACTTGAGTGATTATTGTAAGCCATAGTATAGAGTTTGATAGTTATGGCCACTTTCCACAGGTATGTGATTTCTACTCAGGTGTGAAGCCAAATACAGGATAGATTACTCCCATACCCTCTCTTATCACAGTGAATTTTAACATCATGTTGTAAGGATTTTAAATTAAAAACACTTATATGGATATACTACTTCTGAATTTATTAACATGCTACGTTTCGTTAATTATATATTGCACCACATTTTTGTTATATATCATTATTTGCTTGATAATGATATCTGTATGTGTATCGAAACGTAGTATATTAATAAATTCAGAAGTAGTATATCCATATAAGTGTTTTTAATTTGTGAAATCTACCTCTATATTATATGTCTTATAAGGATTATGTTGTAAGGAGTCAAAAACTTGGTTGATATTTTTACCCATTTTTTTTTTTAAAATACTCCTTCACATATAGAGAGAGAGAAATGGGGTTTAACGTCCACTCGACACAAACTAGGTCATTTCGGGACTAACATATGGTTCAATTTTATTTTCATAATTCGCTTGCGCGTAGGGGTCTTTAGCAGTGGGAGGAAACCGGAAGACCCGGAGAAAACCCACGAAGTTGGACAGGGGACCCTACTCCTGGTCACGTACAAACGGGGAATCGAAACAACGCCAGTTGAATCAATGATACAGCACGCACATGCTCACCATTCAGCCATCCAACCCCCGCTTCACATATAAAAAAACTTAATGAAATCAACCTGTCAATATCAAGTATAATATATTGGACGTTTAATAAAAATCAACGACATCGGAAACTAACAAACAAAGACTGGGATCAGAGATGATTATAATCTCTGGAGATATCACAGAATCCAGAATATTATTTTAAAACTTCAAATACAAGGAGTACTTTTATTAAGAAAACATTTTAATTCAAATATTTTTGTTGTTAAATCAGTAATATTTTACACATGGCAAAATCATAAAGGCCATTCATAGCCTACACTGGTGTATGATTTCAGAGAGAGAGAGAGAGAGAGAGAGAGAGAGATGTTACTCCATTGCTTCATTTTGTTGATAAGCAACAAGTACTGTATACTGATAGAATGGAAATCAGCTGAATTTAAAACGATTTTCCTTATCCTGTATTATATCATTCCTACCTGGGAAAATATTTCCAACTATTGTATTAATAGGTTTATAAGACATATGAGAATACCTGTTGAATGAAACAATGTAATTTACACCTGCGGGTGTCAAGAGGAAGAGTGTAATGATACATCATTAATAAGTGGATGAGAGTGGAGGGAGAGGGGGATTAAGATAAGGTATGATGATGACACAGGTGATATAAGATACAGGTGTGTTGTAATTAAAAGTTTTAATTACTTCTTCTAATTATGATCAAGGTATGTTACCAGGTGTGTTCTATATAGATAAGAATACAACCT